CAACTCACCCTTATGTAATAGATAACCCTATGTCCTGTCAATCATCATATCATCTTTGTACTGTTTCTCCTTATGTGCTCTCGTGTAATTGCTAAGATGTTTTTATTACTTATTTCTATTGTATTTTATTTTTTACTTGTACGTATACAGTTATATAATTATGCCTTATTTGAACCCAGTCTCTGGGTAATTTTGCTATTTATTCAGAATTTATAATTACTGTTTGTCAGAGTCTGCTCCCTATACCCTCTTCTCTCCAAACTTTTCAATGTCTAGTACTAATAGGCAAGGATACAGCCTAGATATGTGTAAGTGTGTGTGTGTGTGTCTCTTTGTTATTATAATATATTGTGATGTAAGAGCTATGCTGTGTCCAAATAATTTCCCCTCTGGATCAATAAAGTCTAATAAATACATTCATCCATTGCTTTTAATTGGGAATATTTTATATTAGAAAATATCAGCACCACAGTTATGTAACTAGTAAATCTATCTAATATGAAATGCTTTTGCACTCCAACTCTCCTGTTGAATCTGTGTGCTTGTTTCAAATTTTGTGTTGTTTTGTTATATTTCAGTTTTATAACCTAAATTATAAATGGCAAAATCCTCATCACTTTTGCCTTTTATTAACCCCCTGATGAAAACATAATGATTGAAGCCTGTTTCTGTTGTCTGCAGCATTATCTGTGCTTTTTGATTTCTTTGAAGTATTTGAAGTATCTCCTCTCCAAAAGTCAGGGGTAATTATGGAAGTGAACGCAGCTCTGTATCACAGCAGTTTAACAACATTTCACGAGGCTGAGCTGCTTATACGGACTTTTATCTCTTCAAATGCAGGAGAAGAGGAGACACATTACGCAACGCTGCACCTATGGGACCTGGTCGACTTTCAACCCCACCCCTGCTTGTCGGTCTGTGGATGGTACAGGCGTCATCATCGGTGAGTGTTTGATGTATTTGAAGACTTTGTGGTACCGAGGTGAAAAGGGGAATGCGCATGTTGTTCTAAGTGTGTGACAATCCCAGGAGGAGCCAGTTTCAAAAAGTGGACTTTCTTGGGTATACGTTTAACAGCACCTCAAATCACAGTGGTGGAGGTACCAGAGGATAGCTCTCTTCTCACCTATTCCTTTTCACCAGACTCCCAAGGCTGTCACTTTTGGATGGGAGGTCTATTGAAGGCACAGACCTCAGTGAAGCCAATTAAAAGACATTTTTAAGTAAGTTTGTATTCTTAATTTACGCAAGAAATAGTTTTTTCAGTACATGTTTAATGCATTAATACCTGAAAACACAAAAACTATCATTGCTATGGATTGTAAAGGTAGTTTAATGAATGTATCAGGGATCTACACTGTAATGCAGATTTTAAGATGGTGTTTTTTCTTATCCTACCTCTGAAATGACTAAAACTCTGTGTAGGTATAGCTGATTTAGACTCAATACCTCAAGATGAGTTGCTATAGTCTATGAAATAATAAAGACAAATTTTGTTAAATAACAAAGTAAACCATCCTTAACTTAAATGTAATTTTCTAGAGACCACAATTCATCATATTTCATCAATATATTACTATATTGATGAAAATGCTGTCAATATTAAAACTAATTCTAGGGTGAGATCAGAGGTTATATACTTTATTATACCCAAAGAGAAATGTGTTCTCTGTATTTGACTCATCCTTCAGTGCAGCTGGAGCAACCTGTAAAGAAAAGTGAACGCATCTCCAGATCTATGTAAGCTGGAGGATTTTTTGTGCATGTTTTTTGTGGTAGGATTTTGTGTGATGTGTCATAATCAACACATAACAGAAACTTCTTGATTATCTGAACTTCTTCTCTATTGGTTTTCAATAATAAATTAACCAGAACAACAGTCCTGCATATCAGAAAGGGCAACATCTTAGTGGCTGGGTCTAAATGTTTAGGGGAGACTGATTAAGAGCACTATTTGATAAATGTCTATTTTACCAAACTGCACTCAGCTCCTATCGCATACCCAGGTAAGCCAGTTTCCACATCGTCTCTGAAGATTTGAACTTTCAGAAGTGATGTATATAATATCCTGGATGAAAGTAAAGAGCAGCGTGAGCCTGATCTATAATTCAGCCAATCTGCTCTGCCAAGGAGTCTGGACCATTGCCAAGAGAGAGGAGCAGATACTGTCAGACACTTGCCAACATTGTAATGCCAAGCACCGGTGTATTGTTAAAGCCACAGTTAAAATGATTCATTTTCAATCCAATATTCTGCAGCTCAGTGCAAAATGTCCACAAAGGGTCTATATCGTTACTAAATGACTGTTAAATGTGTTTTTCACCTTGAGAGGAAGTGGACTGGAAGAGGATCTATCGCTGATTGAATTGAGCAAAAAGTAACAAAACGCTGACGGTGATGGCCAGATTTGACTCTTTTTTGATATACTGCAACACAGGAGTATGTAAATGATACAGGAGATTGAGATGCTGTCGTAGAGGTGAGTTGGCAACTTAAAAGGTGCACCAAGTAACTTTTCTGGTGGAGGCTACATCATCTGCTTGTCCTTATTGAGATATTGTTTTATCTTTTATCACAGCATAGCATAAAACTCAGAGATAAGAAGTCAGCATTAATAGGTAAAGGTACTGGTCAGATATGTGGAGAGAGGGGACCCCACTCACAACAAGAATGCATTTTTTAAGATAATTTTGAACAATAAAAACAACCGTACTTAACAGATGCAACTTTGAGTGTGAGTGTCTTCATGGCCATCTGTTAATGAACTGTCTAGCATAGACTGTATAAAGAAGTGGACTAAGCGAGTGTGACGTCACCCATACAGTTCAGGCTCCAGTCAAATGAAGCTCGTCGAGGCTTGCAGTTATGGGGCAAATTTGGTCCCATATTTTGCATTCCAACTGTGAGTATCAAAGATAATCTGGGCCAATGTCTATAAATGTGTGTAAATGTCTATTTACCATACACACTCTAGGGTCTAGGCCTAGGTTATTCTCCACCTAATGGCCAAAGTACATGGTAATGAGATAAGTGAAGAACTGTCCTTTCAGCTGACCGCATAAGGTGAAGATGTGAAATGTCACACAGTAACGAAAGCAGCATTTAAAAACATTCCAGATCACCGTCAGCCATTTTGAATCTCTTACTTGTGTCCAACTGTCTGTTTAAGATTTCAAGCATAAGCACCAATGACTTTACACAAGACTTTTCCACAGCGTTTCATCCTGGCCTTAGATGAATTATTCAGCCCCCCTCACTCTTCAAAGCCCTTATTTTGAGTTGGCCGATTGCTTCAGCATGCGGTTTTATTCTTAAAGGCACGGAGTTGTGTATCAGCTGCAGCATTAGAGCAGCTCTGCTTCACCTAAATGCCATTAAGAATCACATAAGCCCTCTTATAATAGGTATTGATGAGTGGATTTGTGTTTGCTATAAGTGCAAGTTTAGGTACATAAAAGTTTGACACCAAGTGACTTTGGTAAACTTGTTTATACTTTTTATTTTTAGCATTTGTGAAATATTTTTCCTTCAAAAAAAGGTTTGAATTGTTATACTTGTTTGGCAAGGCCTTTGGTGCAGATGAGCAGTCACAACTTTACGAGTCTGTCCCTGGGCAACTATGAAATTAAGTTCTAGGAGCACTAACATTGTTTTTAGTAAACGTAGTATTTTGATTTGTCAACCACGTATCTGAGTTTGATCAAGTTTATTAAATTTAAAGTAAAACTCTTATCTACAATTCCTTTAAGTTACATTTTATAGTTTCCAATAGTGTAGTAACAGCACTTTCTTTTCTCAAACTTGACATGTAAAAATAGCTGCTTCCATGTAAACTTACCTGGCTGTAGCTCTGAGGGCCACAGTGTCCGTGCCTTCCCCGCTTGTGCCCCTGTCCTGGGCTGCCACCCTGCTCCAAACAGCCCCTTTGTGGGTCTGACCCTGTGGATGCTTACTCTCAGCATGTGGTCCTCAAGGGCTTTTACTTTAGTCCAAACCAAGTTGAGAAGAGAGTCGATAGCACCTGCTTGGTAAGGCCAAAATAGCTCAAAATAGGCTACCTTTTGAATGTTTTCTAAAACTGGTTCACGATGATGCCTTGATGTTAAAAACTATGAAGCAATAAAATTATAGTTTGCTGTGCTTTATCAAATTGTCAAACTTTTAATGCTTTATTTTACATATTAATCAGCTTTTTTTAAAGGCTCAATCTTGTTCCCTTTTGATGCAAAATTCAAACACTATCTTTTACCCTTAGCTGTGAAGCATGGCTATCACACTGGGCCTAGCAACTGTGTTAAAAGCACACAACAAAATAAACTGCCAGTACCAAATGAGCCACTGCTACTACTGTGTATTTGTCACATTTATTTGTCAATTGTTTTTGAGACGTTATTTGTGGAGCAGTTTCGAGTCAGTCACCTCTAGTACAAGACAGTCTCAGAGTGCTCTCTGCTGGTAGAGCCTAAAACACCAAGAATAAGCACAAGATTCACACTGAACATGAGACGTTTAGGACTTCATATTATTTTACTTTAACTTTCAAATGCCTATGACAGGTTGGAGTATTCATTCTACTAAAACATATTTAAGATCATTATCTGTAGCTAACATAACTGTTACTTAGCAACAGTAGACCAAAACTCCTCTTATGTATAGAGATTAATAATTGACAAATATTATTATAAGAAAACACTTTGAAATAATGTTTCAAGTATTGGTAAAATGTGTTTCTTGTGTAAATTATGCTGAAGTTTTGGACAGAATTCTCCCAGTAAGATGTCATCAAAGTGTTTTAGAACTCTCCACTTCCTGTAATTTCCAACATATTTTTGAAATTCTCTTTGCAAATTGCTTCTTAGTTGGTGTAAAACTAATTTACATTTACAACAGGTTTTATCCCACCAAACTACTGGGTCAATTTCCACATTTTATTATTATAAGCACTTGGATAAATCTGAGAATAAAGAAAGAAAGATTTTTTTTTTTTTTTATAAAAACAATCTTTATTTACAGGTAAAATGTTACAGCAGGATAGCTTGTGGAGAGATTAAGCTAAAATTAATATACTGTCACTCAGGACTAGTATCTGTTATTTTTTGTAATGCTAAAATTGTAAATCTATGTAATAAAAACATATTAAGAGTTCAAAAGTAACAATAAAATAAGGCTTTAGATGCCAGTTGAGAAGCTCCTTTTGCTTTTGCCATTACCTACAAAAATAAGCAAGGAAATATTTAAAAAAAATGTAAAAGAAATCTGATAAATTTGGGCTTATTCACAGTGTTATTAAGATACATACCTTCTCGGAGTGGTTTTGAGACCTCCAAGTTTTCCTTGTCATGTTGAAATGCTTTGCTCGGGTCAAACCTGCGTTGAGCCCCGGGGATCTTTAACTTCAGCTGCTCCATGTCACTTTTTTGTTTGGATACCAGTGTGCGAAGCTTGGACACCTCCTAAACACATGAACCAGAGCATTAGGACTGCGTGGATTAATCGGAATAATTGTGACTACTAAAAACATTTGAATAATATTTTGACATGATCGTTACCAGAACTGAACTATACTGCCTCTAAACCAAGACCTTTTAACAAATACAGGTACATTATTTGTTGCATTTACAGTATCATAAATTTTACACCAAATATTCTCCATCTAGAACCATTTCAGTTGCCATATTTCAATCCTTTTTATGGTTAAAAATGTAACTAAAAATCTCAACGTATGATAAATAAACAATCATTTGACTTGCCGCCTAAATGCAAAAAAATAAATGGTGACGAGTTGATTACTACATTTGTTGCAGCCCTACAAACAATGCCAAAGAAAACTGTTACAGCACCTCCTGGTGACTATGGCAACACAAACTGAATATTATTTTACCTGTTTGAGAGTCAAGTTTTCATCTTTGAGCTTCACCACGTGTTTTATTTTCTGTTTCTGGTTTTGATGACCCAGCAGACGAGCATAAGCGTCAGATAGTTTGTTGAGTTCCTCCTGATTGGCCCCTTTCTCATTTAGTAGTGCATTCTTCTCAGCAGCAAAAGCATTAAGCTGTTCCTACAATTAAAAAAGGAATTGTAGACATTAAGTTTACTTAAATCAGAAAACAACTACCATAACAGCTTGAAGCAGTATTTCCCATTTACGCGTTATGCCATAGCAGTTTTAGTGAATGGTTTCAGTTTGGTATATATTTGGTAATAATTTGTATTCAAGAATTATGTTTGGTAGGTGTGGGTGGGTACATAGAGCTTATCGATTTATTTGCATTCAAGGGGGGAATTAAGTATATTTATCCAGTTATAGGACCCAACCAACTTTCACAGAAGTTTATTCATTATAATTAGTTTATTTAATTGGCATTTGATTTTTTAAACAAGCTTAAACTAAAACTATTGACTGACCTGGAAGGGCCCCACTTTTGAAAGCAGCTCCTCATATAGAGTCTTCCAGTGTTCTACTTCCGCATTTGAGGCACTTCAAGAGAAAACAACACAAATTTCAGCACAAGTTTCAGCCATTTATAAGTATTTAAAGATGCACTGTGTAATTTTTCTTGCAGGTGGGTTAGGTCCATGGTGCTTTGCCTGGATTGTTTGCAAATATGACATTAAACTGAATCATTTTGCAATTACTCAATCAAAAAGATGTTTATTTCCATTTGACCTTGGGATCCTTACTGTGAGCTACATCACCACGTGACATCAAGTGCTTGTCCCCATGGAGACAAACAGTCCAGCAGACCTTGCACCAGAAAAGTTACAAAGCGCACCTGTACATTCTAACCATTCTTTACCTTTGCTCTTGTGCTTCTGTGATCTGTCTGGTGAACTCTTGTCTTTGCTCCTCCATCTCCCACTGCAGCGTCACCTTTTCCTGTGTCAGAACCTCCACCTGCTCCTTCAGGGCCCGTCTCTCCTGCCTCTGCTCCTCCAACTCCATCTTAAACTTTTGCATCTCCTCTCCCCATCTCTCTGCTTCCTTTAACCGGGCCTCATTTTTATCCTGCTCTGTTACTTTTAGCCTATCCTGGAGCGTGACCTGGATTTCCTTCGACTGCTCTAATTGAGATATAATACTAGCTTTCTCCTCATTGACCTGTTGGATTTCAGTCTGTAGTTGAACCACCTCCATCTTGACCACCTCACAAATCTTTACTCAAATTCTCCAGAACGCTCCTTTCAGTTTTTAGTGTCATTTCTATTTCTATTCTCTGCTCCTTTTCTCGTTCAACCAGTTTTAGGAGGTCCTCTTTTTCCCTGGTGACGTCCTCTAGCAGTTTATACGCCGATTCTTTTTCATCTTGGAGCTGAGTAATAGTCTGGCCCGTCTGTGCCTCAAGTTGCCCCAATACGTCCCCTTTTCTTTTCAGCTGCTCAATCTCGTGCTGTAACTGGCTGATCAGAGCCGCGTTACTCTCCTCCATCGCCTTCATCTCGTCTTCTTTTTGAACAAGACAGGTCCGCACCTCCAGCAACTCCCTATCAAGTCAAGAAGAAAGAGTTTAGAGAAAAAAAAAGAGGTAGAAAGTGGCAGAGACTTTCAGCAGAGTAAAATTGGGTTTGACACACTCTTGCCTTGCATTTTCATCCTTGGCTTGCTTCTCACTCGCTAGTCTCTCCAGGTGTTCCTTTAAACTATCTCTTGCTCTCTTGATCTCATCTTCCTTCTCTTGTATCACCTTGTCCATCTCCTGTAGCTTACGGGTCACTGCCTGCACCTTGCCTTCTAGCTCCTCTTGTCTTTTAATCAGCGTCTCTTTGGTCCTAGGAGCAAAGATAAACCAGCAGTGTTGAACTTTTAACATATGCAGAGTTTGGGGGCATGAAACATAACAGAGAAAGAGCCTGTGCTAACCTCTGGAGCTCCGACACAGCTGCCTCCATCTTGTTCAATGAATGCGTGTGTTCCTCCTTCAGCTCTGTCATGGCTGCCAAGTGTTCCTCTTTCAAAGCATCTACGTCAATGGTGTTTCTGAAAATAAAACATGAAGAATAGCAAACAGCATGTGGTTACAAAACAAAAGTTGGATACTGACAGACAGTGAGATTGAAATAGAACAAGCAATGATATTTTATATAGCAACAAATTAGATGTATTATATTCACACAATATTTAGGTGCATGCCATGTACATTTGTAAACGCTTTCAGCTTTATATGGAGTTTAGTTGCCAAGGATATATATAAAAAAAAAAAAAACATGCACAGCCAGGTAAGTTTACATGCAAACATCTATTTTTACATGTCAGCTTTGAGAAAAGAAAAGAAAGTAACTGTGTACTACTGTTACTAAACTACTGCAAACTATAAAATGTGTATATAACTAATTGAGGGGATGTGACCTAGCTTTATGCACCTTCTGTATTTTATTTACCTAATTTCATGCATGTCCTTGTTTTTATTTTATCATAGTTTATAATTGCTATTATTTTTCATGGTTTTATGTTACAGCCAAAGCAAGTTCCTAGTTTGTGAAATTTGATTCTATTTTGACAATTGCTTTATACAGATTAGAAGAAATACTATTCACTATTACTATGCTTTATTAGGCTGTAGATTTATGCATTTCAGAGAACATCGTTTCCTCCTCCGCTCGCTTAAAATTTACAATGTGCAAATTATGTTGTTAAAAACGCTGTGTACACCTACTAATTAACTTGTATGTTATGTTTAATGATTACACACCCCAGCAGTTGCTCCCTTGTGTCATTCAGCTCTTTTTCCAACTCCACGTTCTCAGTCTGAAGCTTCTCCATTTTCTCCTGGTTTTGGGAGATGACATCCCTCCTCCTCAGGTCCTCTTCCTCCATGACAGAGAGCTCCCCCAGGACTTCCTCAAGCTCCTCCTTCAACTGCCCCATCTTCTGCTCTGACTCCTCCCTCTCTTGCATCAGCAACACGGTTAGGGAGTCCACAAGAGCCTGTCAAGAGAAAAATAGAAGTGATCAGTAGAATGACTAAAATTTCTCATTTATTTTTCCCGTAGACTAAAAAAAATTACATTAAAAATCTGAATGCTCCTCAGGGCTAATCAGCTATGTGGTAACTAATGGCCAGAATACCTATAATTTTATTTAAATCTGATTCTGAAACATTATAATCCCCTACGTTATCAAAGCATTTCTAAAATCTTGTGTTTTAAATGTGATTTTGGGCTTATCTGCGTTACAGATATTAGTTACCACATAGCATTGCCTCTGCAATGCCTTTGAACTCTTATGTTAATATTTGAATTTTTCCAAAAGTTTATGGGAAAAGATTTGAACCGGAACAGGCGGCCACTGTTGAGCTCCATTGTGCTTATACATTACATGCATCAGGTTTTACACTTTTAGCTTATGAGAGGGTAAATAGATACATATGAAGAAAACAGTTCCATGTTTTTGGATCCAGAAAATAGCATAAGATTAAAAGTCCCCCAAAAGTCTTAATTGCTAGGTTTCAGATGACATCATAACATTTTATAGGCCAATATATTTTAAATAGATGGGTAATGTTGTATCTATATATTCAGGAAAATCTGGCTTTTGTAACCATCTGGGAGTATGACCTAATCACATTCCAGAAACTGGAAACAACCAATAGGTATGTGTATAAAAGGTCAATATTACCTTTTCTTTGGCCAGTTCCTCTGAGATGGCTGTATGTTCTTCTTGGAGTTGAATTTGTTTCTTTTCCTCCTCTTTTTTAGCCTCTTTCAGTGAGTTAAGCTCAGCCTTTAGTTCCTCCACTCGCCTCAGGCCTTCTTTCTGAGTCTTACCTATAAAATTAAGTCAAGTCAAGTCACAGTTTTAGGACTGGAGATAAATTGTATAGACATTAATAGATACTATCTCTAACAAGTACCCAATTGTAATAAAGTTAATTCCTGTTGTCAAAATGAGTCTAAATTATAATTAAATTTTTTTTGGTAAACAGAGCCACCACTTTTTTAATGTATTATCTTTTAATCAATATGCATAAAATAAATTATAGATAATAATTTACTACAATGTTGAAACTGTTGAAAACCTACTTCTGTCCTCTTCAGCGAAGAGACACCTTTGTTCCAGATGAGCCACTCTCTCATCCAGCTCATTCTCTGTCCGCCTCAACACCTCTCTCAGACGTGAGAGTTCTGCCTCCTGCTGGCGAACCGTGGCATGTGACGCCTGGAGCTCTTTATTCACAGTCATCATTTGGTCTTCCAAGTCTTCCACTGACTTCTGAGAGGACTTCAACTCAAGCTCTTGGCTTTCCAGTCTCATTTCCATTTCCCGTAACACATCCTTTGACAAATCCAAATCCTGCCGGTAATGCAGCGCCTCCTCCTCCTTTTGTCTAAGCTCCTCTTTGGCGGCTGCGAGCTGTGCAATCTGCCGCCCCATTTCTGACTGGAGCTGTCTGTAAAGTAGACAAACAAGTGTCAGAGTGCTTGTTTAAGAAATGAGTTGAGCAGAAGCCATTAAACTTACTTTACTGTCTCCGTCTGACAATCTGCAGTAGCTTTTTCGGTCTCCTCCAGTTTCAAGCGAAGATCCTGTAAAGCCCATACAAACATTATTTCAAAATTGGTTAGTGATAAAAATACATCTCTTGAAGTTTGTTAGTTTTACCAGAATCTGCTCATTTGCTGTATCGAGATATCCCTCTAGCACCTGAATCTCCTCCCGCAATTCTCTGATGACAGCTATACAAAATATTTTAATTACTAATTTTTATATATGTTTATTAATAAAGAGAAAAGGAGTTTCAAAAGTTGTTTCAAAACTCACCCTCCAACTTTGCATTCTCATTCTCAGCATCTTCAATTTGACTTTTTGTAACCTGGTGGAGGTCTTCTACATTGCAGGTTATAACACAGTAATTAGTGTTAGCTTAAATGGTCTACATTTAGAACATATCTGAATTTCACCTTACCCAAATCTGCATTCCTCTCCTTTAGGGACTTTACAGAGTCCTTTGCCGCTTTCAGGTCTGTTTCTAATGCTTTCACTTGGCCTTCAGTGTTGACACGCAGGACATTTAGCTCCTAGTAAAATGATAATAAGACTGAATGAACTACATGTATGCTGTTTACTATGATAAATAACTCATTTTAATGAACTACAGTAATACCTTATTTTTTGCATCCAAATTGTTTCTGGCCTCCATCAAGTCCATTGTAAGAGAATTTATTCTCTTTTTTGACGCATCAGCAGAAACCTAAAAAAAACATAACAGAAATTACATGTTTATGTAGCAAATTAAGACAACTCAAAAAACTATCCCTCAATCGGAGAACAGACCTTGTTCTTTAAAAACTCATTGATTTTCTTGAGTTCAGCCCGCTGCCTCTCAAGGGTGGTAACATTAGCAGTGAGTGCAGTCTTCTCCCTGACAGCAGCCAATAGTTTAGCCTCTGCTTTCTTCAAGTCCTCCTCCAGAGCCAGTAAGCGCCGGTCCTGCTCACCCCGCTGCTGTACCAATGCTCTGACCTGGAAAGGTGAAAATTAGCCTATTAAACTAATACTGTTTTGCAATATGACTGCAACCTTATGTCCATGTTTGAACTCACCTCTTTTTCCAAGAGTTTTTGTTGTTTCAGATCAATGCTCATGGTCTTTTCCTTCTTTGCACTTGCACCATCAGCCTATTTTGTCAAGTATGGAGAAGAAAGATATTAAATAAGAAAAGAGCAATATAAACAACTGACGCTTCTTTGATAAACCAGTAAATAGTCATTGTTGGTTTTGTTAGGCAGTTTATTTAAATCAGGTCTTACCAGCCCATCCACAGACATGGTCCTTCGAACAGGGGACACTAAGCCTGTCCTGGATGGAGACGGAGGCGGCAGAAGGTTGTTGGCTGCTGTAAACATGAACACGCATTAGTGTAACATGTAGTGTGTTTTATTTTGACTTGTGCCCCATACGTGCATAGATGTTCACCATGTTTAGGGGGTCTGAAGCGCTCGGATTTATCGAAAGACGCGGCTCCTCTGAGCTCTTCATGTTTAACGTCGTATGCGCCGGGTGGAGGGGCGCAACCTACGGATAAAAGAGGAAACATGATTCGTGTTCCAAGAATGTTAACGACTGAAATCCCAGGAAACATCAAATAAATTAAAATAGCAAGGGCTGCTCAAAAACGAGATGCAAAGAACCTGGCGACAACGCTAAGCTAATGGCAACAAAGATCCATATAATCCTATTGATGCTAAAACTATTTCAGAGCAATACAGCCCAACTTACCCACATGGTCGTTGAATCTCCTTAGTGGAGCTTTAGAGAAGGACATTCCTAATAGATGATACAAAATATGTAGTATACAACTTATAAATTAATTGGATCAAGCTGCTGCACAGCTCTCTCGTTGTCAACATCCGACGCGCCGCTGAAAATTCAAATTAACGTCATACGCAGTTTTACGTAGACCTGACCAATCAGAAACCGGATCTAAGTGACGTAAAAGCCTCGCTCTGCGTGCGTGTTTGTGAAATTGACAAAATAGCCTAAATCTGTTCTCTGCTAGGAGAACGTATTCATAGTTACATTCATAAATCAATAATAGGCCCTGATTCAAGGTATTCATAAATTAAGAATTAATTAATTAAAATTCAAAACATCTGCCAAAATAGTAACAGAACAATTAAGATTCTCCTTGTAACCATCCCCTCACTATTCCTGTATTGAATTCTGCACTATAATATCCTCAATATATTAATAAATTGTATATATTATCATATATTATTAACATATTAATATTATCAATGCCAATAATTAGCATACTATAACTGGTATGATAAACTGTAACACGTATTTATGACAAGAACAGCATTACATCAGTTAAACCATTTTATTTCATGGAAATACAACATAATTTTGTATCCTTTTCAGGACCATTGTTGTACATTTTATATTTTATCATTTTTTGTACTTCAAAACATAGTCACTTGTACAACAATATCATAAACAAAGCCTCATGTCACAAATGGAGCCATTGATGACAATAAATTACACTTGCCATGCTTCAAGAGTTTCAAGAGGATACCTTTGTACCTTCATTTTTACTAGATTTATCTTTAAATGAAAGTAAACCGGACTTGAATAAATATGATAAAAAGACACTGGAGTTACAAAAGAAACCATTGTCATTCAAAACAGAGCAGAAAAAAAGACCACAGGGCTGTTTTGTAAGGGTTAACTTTCCATTCCTTTTTACGAGGACACATTTGCATATTTCAATAACACTGCTAAATCTAAAAGAAAAAATGTAAATACTGACTATATTTAGGAAATTGCCCTTTAATTATAACTGACACTTTAGTTAAGATTTTTTACCATTATGTGCAGAGTATTTCATAGGCCACACAGACCAATATAATTCATTCACACTCAAACAGCTTCTAGTACAGCATTGTCTTTATACAACCTAGAGGTATTCTCTAATTACATTTCTCTCTTCTTTTCTCAATGGAAAAAGACACAATGGACCAGATGAATGCATGTATGTTCCAGTATTTTAAATAATAGCACTGTTTCCATATACAGAATATAAAATCTTTTAAACAAAGAAACAAATGATGTTGATGAGGTTTTCAGTCAGTAATAGGCAAATATACCAAATGTTTCAAATAAAATATTAATAATTAAAAACAGTTACAACACTCAACACTTCACTTAGTTCAACAGTGAAATTTACAGTGGACCTGGTACCAATTAAAACGTGTTTGAAGGAAACAAAGGCGCAGTTTGTGAAAGTAAAAAGAAACGCAACTTTCATTCATTGACAGGAAGCAAGCAGGAATAGAGCATGAAGTATTTATCATGGCATACACATGATGAGGAAGATTTGATTATTTCACAAAAAGAGGATATGAAATGTGAGACGTGAATGGCAGACTAGCACAGATGTACTAGTGTGGGAGCTGGAGCTGTAAGAAGCACCATGTTGAACGAAACGGCGAATGGACTAATGTAGTGTTCATTTCATAGGCTCTTTTTAGTACAATATCTATAATTTAACACTATGTCCAAAATGTATTCATTTTGTATGTCATGGTTTAGACCACAGTTGTGCAAATGAAGGAAAACAAGAAGGCATGCATGAGTTTGAAAAAGTCAGGACTAAAGAAATAAAACGTGTATGAAAAGATTCTACCTCTTGTTGATTTTAAGGGAAAGGCTTTAACTTTAAGACAGTCCTTTATGAAGAAAGGAATAGTTTGAGAGGATTTGTCTTTGGATTCATTTTTCCAGTATAGAGCCAATCCCATAAGACCAACCAGGCAGAGATCAGGGGCACAGCTAAGGACATGTGTCTGTGTGCACTGTGGGAGGGCCTATTCTCAACAGGTGGTGGCCAGAGACTGGTGTATAGGAGGCTGGAAGCACCGCACATGCTCCACAGTGGAACTGTCCGTCTCCACAGCCTTCATGTACTTGTTCAGAATGGCAAAAATTTCATTGTTCAAGATCTGGTACTTCCTGATGCGGTCTGCCATCTTCTTCAAGGGCTGAGGACAAAAAAAACAAAATGCTGTTTATAAATAAAGAATCCAATATATTTTTTAAATGAAAACACCATTATCTGTGTTCTATTTCCTCTGAGGAGCTAAATGCTGTAGCTGCACTGCATCCATCTAATTGCCACATCCACATCACATGAGTCAACTTTTTTTGTTATATTATTGAATATATTACAGTAGATTAGGAATACTTACAACATTCTTGATGATTTCATCTTTTCCATCTTGTCTTTGGACTTTGAGCAGATGGTAGCAGAAGTCAAAGAGGTCAAAGCGGCGCTGTTGTCCCAAAAGTACTATGATGGCGCAGCCAGCCCAGTTCAGCCCATCCCCAAAGCACTGTCTGAAAAGCAAAAAATATGATAATAGGTCAATGACTATGGTTTTTACCATTATGCAGTAACCAAGAAGCAATAAAACTGCCTCTTATACTTACTCTGCTGTAAACTCGTGTGTGCCCACAGGGATGCAGTAGACAAACTGCATGGCGCTCCACAGACGGTGGAACTCCATACACTCGTCCACATGCATCACTCCGTTGGTGGGAGGAGGGCCGCGCCAGACCCCATCCTGAAGGAAACTGCGAATCCGGGTCAAAATCACCTCGAACATGGACAGGCCACAGCACAGACGCTCTTTGGTCAGCAGGTCTCCCTCTCGGGCGATTGCAATTTGCTTTATCACCAAAGTTAGAGATACAAAGTTAGGGGAAAATTTTAAATGCTTAGGCTACTATCATGAATATCTGATAGCAAAATAACTGACCTGTGGAGTGCCCAGTCGCTCAATTAGAGGCACAAGATGGAGAGGGGCATACTTCGCTTCCAGCCTTTTCATCCTCACCTCAAGCCGCTCTCCCTCTGTGTGATCGAAACAAAACATTTGAAAAACATACAACGTAAAACAATTTTGCTATTATAACAAAAATATTTGATATAATACCTTTGATGTAAACTCTTGGTAGAATATTTTGGAAAGGAGCGGCATGTAACAGATCACACACCTCTTCCTGGGACTAGAATGAAGCAGAGCGTGGAAATTTTAAAGATGTGCATAAAAGTATTAACAATCTTTACACATTGTACAGGCAGTGTTAAATATCTATGTTAATTGTACAGACAATTTGATGGTGCATGCATGTAGCCATGAGGTGATGTTGCAGCGGTCAGTCTCTTTCTGCTAAATTCCTTTATTTTCTCTTATGTTTGTATTGCAAGTTAAACTCAAAACTCAAACTACTGCATATGTAATGAGATAAGTTACTTTAGGTCTATGCAATGTCATGATACATGTATTTTATAATTCATCAGAAAATATTATCAAGCCATGATCTTGGTTAGCTACAAGAGCAAGCAAAAGATCAGTCTTAAATCTTGTAATGGTCTTAATGAATGCAACTTTCAATGCATTAACAGCCACACAGCAGAACTCCCATGCAATGCAAGCTTTATGTCATCCAAATGAAGAGAAATACAGTGAATAGAGCAGACAAAGAACATCTTGTACCCTTGGCTAAAAATGATGAATGAGAAAAAGAGCCATGCAATATTAAGTGAGAAATAGATAGATAGAACTCGCATACATAACAAAGATACACTCTGACACAAACCAGTGCTATTGGAAGAGTCATGTTTAACAGGCATTACAAGCTCCGAGAGTCAGTGATGTGTGGAGGCAGTGAAATGTTAAGCACAAGACGAAACAAAGAACAAACCAGAAAAGTACAACCACTTTTTCCATGGAAGACAAGGACTGAGTGAGTTTTAAAATGTGGTCAAACTAATTCAGAAGTAGTACAGGCTTTTCAATCATTAGCTGAACTTGAAGTATAATTTGAAGTACGTTTGATACTGAAATGTTAAAATTGTGATGATCGAAAGTGTCCGATTGCTTCCATGGTGATAGCAGGTTAAATTTAATGGTACATAGTAAAAATAGAAAAGTAGAATAGACGTAAAAAACTCATAACAATAAGAGAAAAGTACATAATCTGTACTCTTGTTTATTGAAAATCAAACCCTAAATCCTTACCACCTTTGGTAGATGCCAGCGTGAAATGAAAAATAAGAAATAGTTTTAGATAACATCAGCTAAATGCTTCACATTTCAATTGGTGGTTTTCAGATTCTACAATAAGGTACTACATACATCAAGATGGGGGCCAAAAACAGTTTTGCCTATTGATTACATTGTACTTTACCACAAAATACTGGAAAGGTAAATTCCCAAATATAAAACCTAATCATTTCTCTTACTGACTAGACCAGGGGTGGGCAAACTTTCTGGCTCGCGGGCCACATAGGGTCCTAAAATTTGACTGAAGGGCCAGACAGCAGACAGGACATAACGTGTTAAGAGCTCGGCTTCATTACTTTCTTATTCACATTTACCTAGGACTTCAGACGCTACACATTTCATCACTACTGTGAAAGATTCAAAACACATAAAACTGTTGAGACCTGCTCCACTGCACACCACGAGTGAATGTATATCATGACTTCACTGTTTTCAAATATGACTGGTAACAGCTTAATAACAAAGCTCACATCGTTCAATCACAGATACACACCTGTGAGTGCAGTAAAAACCTGATTCCAAATTGTTGTACATATTAACAAATACAACTTACAAATTACAGGTTTTATTGATTGATTTTTACCAACTCAAACTGGAAGCAGTGCAGTCTTATATCTTAAGCACCAACTACTTCACTCATGGTCTGAATAACTCCTGTAAGAACACTTTCCCATAAAGGCCAACATAATACGCCGCAACTCAATGTATATATAGTGCGCCATCTACTGGGAAACGCTGGAAATGCATGACAAATAAAACATCAACAAGGTTTATTATTGTAATTTATTCCAGTTCGGCGGGCTGGATTAAAAGGTTTAAAGGGCCGCAAACGGCCCCCGGGCCGTAGTTTGCCCACCCCTGGACTAGACCAAAGACCATGCTATATAACAACAAAAATCTGCAGCTGAACAATATTCATTTTACCTGCCCCCCATCTGTATTCAATAATACTGGCCTATAGGATGTACTGATGTCATCTGAAACCCAGCAATAGCGCTTGGACATTATATGCACTTATATGTATAATGGCTAGGTGATTTTGGCACTTGAATACCTAATACCTTACCCTAAAACAAAATACTACATTTCCAGATGTTGAAGGATAGATTTTCCAAGATTGTAAAGAATAAAGAGCAAATGGAAAACCAGGGGAAAGTCACTATATGGTATAATATTCTTATTTCCGTAGTAGTGATGTTGAAACGTCTCACCAGAGCCTGTTCGATGAGCAGGCAGAAGAGGATGGCGTTGCCCACCTCCCTCAGACTCTGGAACACGTCTGTCTTCAGCTCTGCGTACTCTATGATATCCTTCAACTGGTGATGGAAGAATTCCAGTATACCTGTCAGGAAGAGAGAGAGGTTGGCGGAGAGGGAAAAGGGAGAGAGCGAGAGACCGAGCGACAAAGAGAAAGGGCAGAAGGAAGGAGAGAGAGAGAAAGAGAAAGAGAGAGAGCATGTCAGGACAGAAGAAGAGAGAGAGGGGCAGTGAGACAGGGAGAAAGGATAGAAGGGGAAAGAGAGAGAGAGAGAGAGAGAGAGAGAGAGAGAGAGAGAGAGAGAGAGAGGGGAAGGGGCAGAAGGAGAGGGAGAGAAAGAAAGACAGGACAGGATAAAGAGAGGGAGGACAGAGCAACAGTTAATAGACCCACCATCTGCTGCAACCATTACAAAATCAGACACATTACAAATGGCTCTTTTATTGTAGCCGTCACTTACAAAGCCCCAAGGCACGGTACCTACTAACTCTCATTATCTCTGTGATAATCTATTGTTACCATGTTGAATCAGCCTTGACAGACGCCCTGACCCACATTCGGTCCAGACATAAGGCAAAAGGATCATTAAGTACTGACAGGGGCTCACAGCCAGTGGGCCAGGTACACATCTCACTGTCTAATAACTAACCTTAATTAGAAGCATGAACAAAGATAGGCCTGTTATGATAATTACTATCATTTTGGGGCTCAATATTTATTGCAAGTACATTTTCTTCATAATATTGGGGAGATTTTTATGTGATATGGTAAGATTTGAGCTGTGGAGGGTTGAATAAGTGACTTTTATGGCTAGTTATTGGTTAATTATGGAATTTAATTGGCGCAACTCATACCTTTTAATGACACAGTACAGTTTCAATATTATCGTTTATCGTAGTATCCCTCTGTACCAATATGTCATTCTTTAGGCCAACAAAGAATTTTTCCATAATGAACAAAAGTTTCATGCTAGTACTACTTAATTAATGCCCTAACCCCTAATTAAGTAGTTACCAAGCCTGAATAATTTTAATACATGATTTGTTCATTATGAATTAGGTCTTTGTTCATGCTTTATTAAGGATAATAAAGGTGTAGTGCTAACGACATCTCAATACGACACATGCATACAATTCTCTGCAATTCTATTTTTGTTTTATACATGTTTTTGTCCTCCTTTGGGTTAGCCAGTTACTTAGAACTACTTTAATAATGCCTGAGTAAGTCCTATTTTAGACCTAGTTTAGCCAAGGTCTTTTTATAGACCTGGTTTAGATCTGGTGGTACTGGAAAGCAAGGAATTTTCTCTACTTTGTGTGAAAAGTTTGAAAACCAGAGATCTATAGGTTACCAACACCTTATATATAGATACGCTCTTCCACTGTAATCTGAAGCAGTTTAAAGCCAGGGAAAGAAAAGACAGGAAAACCCATTTACATCAGTACATTTGACAGACAATTTCAGCTATAAATTATCTATATTACAACTTATTAAAAATTAAGTAAATGATTAGAAGACCAGACTGTTTATCTAGTGTGTCCTCAAATGACTCGTTAACTCCACTAACGTTTTCACAACACACTTTGTCTCAGTCCAGATGATGTAGAGGTTTGTGTGGAGTCAGCAGTTTCCTGAGCCGAGAGCAGGCTGCACATATTTTCACTGCTCCCCTGTGTGGACCTGTCTATTCCATTAGCTACATGTGGTACTGTGCTCACAGATACAAGAGAACTTAACAAGCCAGGCTGAAGTTGTGCATAAAATATACTGTTCGCCATGTAACTTTTCTGGTGGAGGGCCTGCAATCTGAGTTTCTCTTGATTGTTCCACAGTATGGCATTAAACAATTAAATGATATTTTCTTTCAGGGTATTTTTAGCTAATAAAAAATCTCAAATTAAATTGAAGACGGACAAGTTCAAGGCAACACTGTGGAACATTCCCAGCAAAGCAAATAATCAGCTGTCTTTCTTGGCATATATAAAAATCAACAGGTTTCCATGGTAACAAAAATATGTAGGTAAATGCACTGTATAATTTTCTCACCTGGGGAGCCATACTCGTGACGAGGCAAGCGGCAGATTTTGGGCATAACTTCTATCAGGGTTTTTACATACTGCAGAATGGTCCCTTGTAACTGTCAAACAAAATTCATATAAGAATAAAAAATATATAAAAGATGGCAATAATTAAAAGCATATTAAAAAAACTAAACCTGGAATGAAACTATGTAAAATTTTAACTAATTTAAAATACATCACCACAAGTTAAAAGACTACTGCAGTATTTAGTGAGAGTCAGACATAACATTATACTTGTAAAAAAAAAAAAAAACATTTGCCCAAAAAGAAAATACCAGGCTTTTGACGATTTTCAGCAGCTCCTCCATCACCACGGCGATGCCCTGGTAACCGAGGAGACGGCAGATGGTCTTGAAATGAGGCGGTCCCACGAAGTTTCTGTACGAGCTGTATATGTGGGAGTAGGCAATGTTCAGAGGCTGCAAACAGAAGAGGAGACAGACTTGTGATCATCTGGGACAGGGAAGTTATTTTAGTCAAATAAGGTCTTACATTCCTCTTTGTTTAATCCTGATGTCATCCTTGAATAGTTGAGGTTTAGTCCAGGTTTAGTCCAGGTTTAGTCCAGGTTTTGTCCAGGTTTTGTCCACATTTTGTCCACATTTTGTTATAGTTATGTTATGGTATTGTTATGATATTGCCCTGGTACTATCCTGGATTATTTTCAGTTTTTTATAGTTAGTTGAAAAAGACTTGATTTGGAGTTAGTTAAGGCAAAGCATTTGGCTTATTGCAGTTTATTAACAATTACTAAAACATTTTCTAGGGGACATTTGAACCATGCAAATTAAAAGGTGCACCTTACCTTTGAACCATAAAGGTAATAAGGCTGCACGTTGGCTGGCTTGTCTCTTTGAGGCTCCTGTGTGAAAGGAATGGCTGTGCGAACAAAGCTGCAAATCAAAAATAATAAATGGTAAAAACCAAAAAAAGTAGATGCAATCATTAAAAGCTATTAGGATGAAAACCAATGATCTGACCGGTTTGTGGACCCATTGTAGCAGTAGTTTGGGAGGAAATCAAAGTTGAGCTCCCAGAAGACGTGCAGTGTGATTCTTCCATAGGGAGCGGACACGTTGTGGTTGGCTTCACGAAACATAGCGTCGAAGCTGTCCAGAGTCATGTGTTTGGACAGCAGCCGGTGCGTCAGACGGTTGATCTCCAGCAACCATTCCAACTCCTTTAAAAGATGAAACAAAATATATTATTATTAAAGCTGTGTAGAAATTAGCTATTGATACTTGCAACGTTCTACATATATGTCTATTGGCAGAATGTTCAGAAGTTACCACAGACACAATGCACATGTTAGTAAACACAGACAAAAAAGTGTTAAAATTGTCTGGAAAAAATACAAAATGGATTTAAACAACACATTTTCAGGAGCATTCATGGTCCTGTTTAGGTATTTGACATTAGCTAGTTTGTGACTGTAATTTTATGTGTGAGAGACTTGTTTAATGTCATCTCATCTGTTGTAATTCCAACTAAGTAAGTGCTTTCTTGTTTAATCTGATCTTTTATTTTAACTTAGTCCAAGTCTAATAGAGCTTCAGACAGAGGAGAGCCTCCAGTTAGCATCAAAACCCCCAGAAATCTTGAATACTTTAAAAAAGAAGACATTACCACTATTGAGGTGAGGTCTTCACTCTCAAAGCGGCTGATGGCGTGGTCCAAAGACTTGTACATTGCTGCAGAGATTCTTTGTGTTATCAGTCGGTTCAAGTCAATTGACCGACCCAGCAACTGCAAGAAACCAGGTATACAGACTGTTATTTTCTACAATAACAAACATATGTCATTCAATTTTCAAAAAGAATGTTGACCATGGCCTTTACCTGTACATGTCTCTGTTTGAGCAGTGTTTCATAGCGGTTTGATGGTGGATAAGGGATAATTACACCGTAGTTTTTACACTCGGCTCTGAAGCGCTTGTCTAAGAGCACGCTGAGGGACAAAACAGCGTTATCTCAAGAGTCTGATACAAGATTACACATTTAGTAGATAAGCATCTACTCCTACCTTCCAGCCATTGCTTTGTAGTAAGCAAATATCTGATCTGCTAACTTGTAGACAAACTGATCAAAGCAGAGGTTGACCTAGAAGCGAAAAGGGTTATTTTAAAGCATCATATATTCAAACAAGTGATTCATTATTGAATGTGTTGATTAGAAACTGTGATAGCAATTTATTCACCTTAATTAGCCTTAATAAAGCAACAAATGATTTATTACTAATCACTCAGGTTTTTGTAATACCAACAACTAATTAGGGTGTTAATTAACTAGTAAGTGAGCATGATTTTCATTTTTAATAACCTTTTTGTTCATTGTGAATCAAGTCTTCATTCATTCTTTATTAAAGCCATTTCAAAATCGGGTTATTAAAAAGGTCTTACCCATATTATTATCATCTTACCTCAGCTTCAATCTCATCGTACAGGAACTGTTTCTTGAATTTCGTGAGAGCATAGTATCCACTGTCATTATACAAGTCTAGAGGGTATAGCACATATCTAAAGAGAGGAGTATTGGGTTACATTGTTGAATACTTGAACATAATGGCAGAACTTAGTTGATTTTCAGGACTTACTCCATCATAGACGGCTCCTTGGTCTCCAGGATGTGGTCTGTGAGGATCCAGGGCATGGACATCTCGATGGGGAACTGGATTCTACGGCCCATGGTCAGTTCCAGGAAGAACTCTCTGAACCAGAGCTGAGACAGGTCACAACACTGCTGCAGAGCCTCTGTGTGGGGGGGCAAAGAGACAGGGGCAAAGAGACAGGGGCAAAGAGACAGGGGCAAAGAGACAGGGTCAGGTCAGTTTAAAATGTGTTCACAGCTTTGAGATGGGGCGTGTATGTAGTGGGGCTGCGATGATTAATCAACTAATTGACTAGTTGACTATAAAAAAAATATCTTTATCTGGACTACAGACTCTAAAACACATAAGCAAAGATCTTTTTTTAAATGTCTAATTTTCATCAATAATACACTTCATAACTATTCTCCATTTAATCCTTTAGTCACCACATTTCAAGTTTTATTTGGTTCCAAATTTGTCTTAAAAGTCTCACTCTTAAAACATAATTTGCTGACTACTAAAATACTTACTAAAATACTCGACTAAGCCCTACTCTGTGGATTATGGATTGACTTTACCGCTGAAGTTGAGCAGGTGTGTGTAGAAGAAGGAGTGTTTGTGGAAGTCTTCAATGGCCACCACGATGGGCCCATCCAAACTGCTGCGGAGAGTCTTCTTTGAGCCACTCTTATCAGCTATCAAGGACTCAAGCATGGTGCGCACCATGTACAGCTACAATGGAAAAAGATACAGAAGCAAGTTACATTAAATACAACTTAACTGTATTTCTAGGGCACCTTAAAAACACAATTGGCCAAATTGCTGCATACAAATTAAACAGAAAGCATAAATACAACCTGGAGTCGTACAATGTTTTTAATGTTTTTGTTTTGGTCCCATTCAAGTAAATACCTGAGTGCTTGAGGGTCCCACAGCTCTGCGAGGAACTTTGATGTCAAATCCACCTTTGGGGTCCTTCTCTCCTCTGAGACAGGGGTCATTCGGAGGCTCCCGTCCTCCGTCCCAGTCACACACAGTCTTTCGAATAGCTTGGAGAACACTGGACAAAGCAGAGAAAATGTGGTTTAAGAACTCTGCATCTATCACATGAACAGAAATGTAAATAATGATGTACCTAATTAAGACGTTTTTCTTCTTGCGTACAGCCTGCCTGAGGGGCTCTCTAAGGGTCACTTGGGCAAAGTCCTGTAGAGCAGCATAAATGGTGTTTCTGATGGCTTGGTTAAACACTGACTCCATCCGACCCATAAGAACCTGTAGATGAATAAGCAAGCATATTATTATCATTTTAATTAAAGAGGTAAGTGCATAGTGATGTAATTTATGGCCAACCTTTTATCATCGAATCTAATCAGGTGGATGCACTGGTTCAGTGTTTTACCTGCAGCCCCTTTATCATGGCGATGACCTCCACCAAGGCAAACTTCTCCTCACTGGTGTAGTTGTACCGCGTGGCTCGCTCATACTCTTCTGCTGTCCCAGGGCAGTCTTTATTACAGAATTTATCTGTGGGATGGACCAGCTTCCACGAGTACTGACGGAAGAAAAAGCAAACTTTAGATCAAAACAATATTTTATTTATATTCAATTATCACAAAGAATTTATTTTATGGTTTGGAATAATGTAATATACAGAATCATTCTTAGTTCATAATACCATAATAGGGAAAATATGAAATCAAAGGCTGGCAATTTTGACTTGATTTTGATTATTTTTTTGACTAATATATTTTTAAGTTACACCAGCCTAGTTGTATATTTTTTGTATACACAAGAACTATGTAGGTATTTGTATGTTGGCTCAAGTAGAGTTACTACAAAACAAAACATGTTGATGGGAGGCAAACTGAAAATTTGATAACAGCACAATTGTTGTCCTGGTATATTGCCCTGAATTAAAACTATTAAGAATGACAGCAAAAAGACTTAAAAATATTAAACATAAATTGAACAGAAATTATTAGTGTAAAATTCCAAACAAAATTTATGCACCTTTGTGGTTAATTTTATAATTCATTCACATTTTGTTATACTTGAATCTCATCAACCATAACATTTATAAAGCACATTATAGCACAATCAAGATACATTGTTAAAATATATTATAATTGTTATTAACATTATGACTGAAAGGTTTTCATTCCGCACTCTTCTCTCTAATTTAATGTCTCTGATTATTTATGTTTTGATTTGTTTTTAGTGGGATTTTAATGTATTTCTTATTCTGTAAAGCACTTTGAATTACCTTGTGTACAAATTGTGCTATACAAATAAACTTGCCTTGCCTTGCCTAAAACTATTATATTCATTTTTGCCTCCACTTACCACTTCCATGACATGCGTGCTCCACTTGGACAGCAGCTGCAGCCCCCTCAGAGCCAGGTCAAACAGCTCCCTGTACTCTTCGTCTGATTTCTGGGAGTCGAGTCCGGAGCCCGTCACCACCTCACTGTTACTGTAACGCGCCAGCTCTGAGATGAAGCGAATGTGGTCCTCCCTGATCTGCACCATCTGCTCACACAGGTTGTACTGCGGAGAGATGCTGCTCTGAGTGCATGTCCACCTGAGGAGAGGGCACAAAATCAAGCAGTTTTAAATAGTGGACAATGACTATAACATGCAACAGTTCTGTACATACAACATTGTTCTTATATTATACTGTGATGTGTGAGCTACTGTGTCCAAATAACTTCCCTTGTGGATCAATTGATTTGTCTACGTCTAAGGCATTATTCCAGAATGTATTACTAAAAAATTCAATAAAATGTTTTAAAATATGTATTGAAAAAGCTCTGTTTATTATGTATGTAAGATAATTTACTATCAACTATAATTTGTATTCACTTGCATATGACATAATGCTGCATATTTTTATTTCATCCCCAGTTGCCTTATGTTGGGAATTCACACCAGCTGTATAAGACGCATTAACACTTTTGGTGAATTTTAAGTTTTGCTTTTTTCAACAGGCTGTAGCTTCCACTAAAAAATCTATCCCACTGGAAATTAATGCTATAAAATTATTCATAGGAACCCAATAAAAAAAAAAAACAGAAAAAAATTGGGGGAATAAGTTTGTCATGCTGAAGCCTTATTGGGTTTGTTGTGAGATACCAGGCGTTGAGGGGTTAAGGCTTTCTTCATTATTTATTAAGGCTATTCGGCCATTATTATTACGAGTATTTTTCTTACTTGGATTTGTTCTCTTCATAGTGAGCACTGGTCTCGATGTAGCGTGACAGTTCTATCTGCATATCTCCAAATAACGGCACCACTTGAAGCTGAAACAGACGTATGAAAAAAACTCATCTCACCCTCAGGTCACAAACACAAACAGCTCGCTGGATAAAAGACATGCAAAACAAGACTGCGCTTACTTTGAAAAACTTGTCAATCTTGCTCAGGTTGATCCTCTTTTTAGCATCGAGTTTGTAGATGTTGCTTACATTACCATCCATCAAATAGAGACCGAAGCCCATTACCTACCACGCACACAGAGAAAAGTGTTTTATAATGAGAAGACATGCAGGCACACAATAATTAGTGACCGTTATGTGGAGATTTTTGTACCTTTAGCAGCATGTGTTTCTCGCTGGGGGTCAGGTACATCTTGTTCTCGTAATAGTCGACGCAGATGTTGACGATGTCGGCCAAGAGCTCCTCATAGCCGGGGATCACCTCCAACTGTTGGTGCAGGCACTGTGAAGAGATAGAAAACATGATAGCTTATAATAATGACTTAGTTATATACAAAAAATATAAGCAGGTTTCAACTAAGACTTAAAGAGGTCCTACATTACTCAAAATGGACTTTTGTGAGCTTTAAGTCATGTTATAACGCTGTTACCTCATTTTTGTTTCATTTCATTAATGTTCGAGTATTTATTTTAGTCTATCTCCATCCCCAAAGCTAAAAATACTCTGTTACACCTTGTGATGTTATGAAGTGGTGATTTTCAAGTTAACAGCTCCTTTTACCTTTAGATCAGAAAAGATTGGCAATGGAGTTTAAAAACAGAAGGGAGCATTTCTATGACCACCTGACATCACAAGATGGAACAGTGTGTTTTCTGTTTGAGTGTTTGTGTGTTGAACATGAATGAAACAAAACACAACTCCAGGTGTGTTTGTGATGAGGAAACAACATTATAACAAAGAACAGGAAATAGCATAAAATGGGAACTTTAAATGGTGCAGAACATACCTAAACATTAACTGCTTGACAATGAAAAATAACTAGTCCCCCGTGTCTCAAAGTCATTTTAATGCTATGCATTTGTTGATGTGGCCACATATAAAGTATATAAAGCCCAGTGTGATTGAAGTTCACTCCATTTTGATCAGCTAAAAATATATATGCTCATTATGCAATTTATTTTTATTTATGTGCCATACTAAAGTGTATTCATCCTTCAGCACTACTATACTGACCAACAGCAATGTAAATTAGTGTAGAATAAAAGGTAGAACAATCTGATGGTGGATTTCAGAGTGATAAAAAATGTAGACAATTGCCATAGCAAACTGTTCAAATCAAAATATTATTTAAATGAGCAATGGACCAGGAAGGAATAAATCATGTGACTAAACCTGATGGAGATAATTTTGACAAACAAACCTGGGTGATCCTGTTGTGGTTCGCTAAAAACATGGACAGATTCTGGGACTCCTGAATGGACTGAGGGTCGGCCATTTTTCTTAAGAACTGAGCAGCCCTGAACACAACATGGTCAAGAGAAAATGTTAACTTTATATCAGTTTGTATTTTGGTCAAAACATTACTATACAGAAAGTGGCCGAGTACCTCTTATAGGCAGAGTGGTCATTCTTGACACTACATTTCATGTTTTTTAATTCATCCAATACAGCAAACATATTGATGAATTTTCCTAGCGTGAGTAAATAGGCCTCCGACACGAAGTCCTTCCTTCTCTCAGCATGACACAGACGTTTTACCTCACTGCAGAATCGCTCAATCGCTTTCCGCTGTGAGGAGAAAAACATTCAACAAAATCAATAACATCGCAAAAATACAACCTAAACATTATCAGTATTAAAATAAAATGTTGTCTTACTTGAAAATACATGAACTTCATTAGCTTGGTCACTTCAGGCTCCAACACTTCTACTGTTTTTTCATAGATCTCCACTCTGTTGGGTTGTTCGTTGCATTTTACCTTTGGAACACAAGAGGGAGCCATTTCAACACTTGAGAAATGAAATATTATTTACACATAGATCATTTACAGGCCATAGGCAAAAAGATCAAATCAAGATAAAGTCATTTTGCTTATTAAAATACTTGGAACCTTAATTACTGTAACTCAATATAATGAATAGTTTATTTTGCTGTCTTGTCGATCTATGAGCATTATTGGGGATTTATACTTGTGAGAATAGTTAGTTTTTAGTTTCACTTTCTATATGTATATATTTGCATATTCATAATAGCTTTGCACCTCTGGCCCATCTTGTCATGTTTATAAGATAATATTTAGAAGTTTTTATGCAGACACTCCCAAGGAAGAAGAAATGGGAAGTTTGTGGTTAGACATTTTAAAATATTAAACATAACTAGCAAAGCATGGGACAAGGGCAAGTAAGGCAGAAACAAACTTGTAACATTTCCAATATCAATGTGCACTGATAAAAAAAAATATATATATTTACCTGTGGAATGGCTCTTGAGCAGCTCCTCCAGGTGTAAAGCATCACAGCATACTCATGCCCTTCCTCCAGCATCTCATTCTAAAAATATGCAACATTTCTATTTTAAAAAGGTCCTAAATTATGCAGAATTGATTCTTGTGAGTTTTAAGCCATGTTATAATGTTGATACCATCTCAAAAACATACATGGAGTTGTGTTTCGTTTCACTCACATGTGTTTGAGTAACCCTTTATTATTCATCTGTCTACATCTCCAAAACTCAGAATGCTCTGTTCTACTTAGTGATGTCATGTAGTGGTAGTTTTCAAGTTAACAACTTCCTTTTACCTTTTGTTCGATTGGCAATTTCATTCAGAAAGTATTTAGTGATGGTGTATGGAAACTATGAAAAAAATAGTGAACCACTTCCTGTATTACCACATGACATCACAAGGTGGTGTTTCCTGTTTGAGAGAAGAATTCAGTGTAAAGTTTAAATGTGCAGGATTTGTGTGTTAAACGTGTGTGAATCAAACAAAACACAATTGAGTCTAACTGAATTTGCTCACATCTCGCTCCTCATGTACATCATAAAAATCTGTTTCCTGATTATTTGCATTATATGTGCAAAAAAAACAAAAAACTAATTTCAGTATTATTTCTAACACTTCTTTACACATATGTTGCCAGTTGCCAAATCATAGATAATTTCATACAGATTAAAATAAAAAATATATGGTCTACGAATAAAGTTAGCTCAAAGTGTCAGGGATGCCTTCTACATAGTGTGACTTGTTACCTGTTAAAAGAATAATATAAAAAGCATAAATCATGATCACAGTGTAAACATGACATATGCTTTTTCTTCAAAGTTTCACACCTTCATTGTCAAGCACTGTTCACACACGCATTCACTGTGGGTGAGACATAACTCTTACAACAATGAGGCTGAGAGGGGTGTCCTCAAATAGACTGGGTCTCCTCCGTGGGACTTCCTTTTTAACGAGGGTTAAATAAAGCTCCACTTCCCCTCTTTACCAGTCCAATCACACTCTCCATTCATCCAGCATCACGGGAGAGGAGAGCTTTAGACGAAGCCTGATTCACCGCTAACTGAATGTGTCTGTCCTGCCATAGGCTTCAATAACAAAACCCCTAAAGATAATCAGTGCCAATGAAACAATAGTCTTTTTGAATGTAAGGCTCAGATTCCCACAGGGTGCTTTGTGTTAGCCAAAAAGAGGAAAAACATGTACAAAAATACATACAAGATGGTACACATAGGAGAAACATGTCACAACAAATCAGTGTATTGATTTTGAGTCTCACCATGCTAGAGTGGACTGTTGCTTGCTCAATGTAACGAGCAATCCCAGTCACAAACGCATTCCTGTCTTCAAAGTTGGTGTCAAAATTGGCCTGGAGAAACGCAGGAGAGATGAAAGAGAATGGTTAAGAAGGAGGAGAAAAAGGAGCACTGAAAACACTTAGAGGAAAGTGGTGGATCTGTGTGACAGTAGCAGCAAGATGGTCGGGCTGTACAATACAAGAAATAGCATGATTGCATCCATTTTAAAACTTGTTAAGGCTCTGAACACGCTATATACTATTTCTGCTCTAAAATATAGACGCTAAGCCATTAAAATAGTTAAAATGTACTCTGATAATGTTTTTGCAGTACAGTACAGTAGTCACTTATGGAAAGCCCTGTGAGGTAACTATGGTTTAATATTGGCTATACAAAAGGAAAAAAGAGAAAATGAATATTGGTTGTATGTGAGAACAGGTATGGAGGTATGGTCAAATAAAATATTGACACGTTTAATAAATAGAAACAAATACAAAACATCCAGCATACTATTGTGATCTTTGCAAGACTGAAAATATAATGGTATGACAGTGTGTATAGGAGGGAGGAGAGGGGGTACCTGGTACATGATGGAGGAGGGCGGGGGCTCGATGCATGGCTGCTGGTCTGGGAGAGGCAGCTCCTCCAACAGGTCCACGTTGGACAGAGCATCCTCTAGCGTCACGTGGGTTGTCATGGCAACAGAGCGTCAGTCACACAGCAGCCCGGTCTGTGAAAGAGAGAGAAGGAATGTCAGATATCTACTAAACATGAGCAAGGAACAAGGGGGCTAAAAGTGGAGTCTAAGGTTGAACCAATAAAGGCAAATATGCTGCAGAAATGAATGTTGTCCCTCAAATTATGAAACACTCTATATAGTGTCAAGATCCATTATCCAACCTATTAATTATTGCACATATAGTTCCATTTTATTGTTATAAGAAATTTAGTCTATTGTATTTGATTTCTTTATTTGCAGCTTTTACTTGTTTTTCATTCTTAAGTGTTACTATTCTGATATAATTTTAATTCATCAGATCCAGTAGAGTCTACTGAATAAACCAGCAGACTGTGTATAAATGGACATAGCTGCAGCTAGCTGGTGCGTTCCATATAGGAAGTGAGCATGGGCGAGTTTCCAGCTCCATCAACTCTGACTCCAAGTCACTTTCCACTGTCCATAAATCAAGATATGAATATTATTAACAACCAAAGCAGGTGCCTTCTTTCCCTGAGGTTGCTCCCGTGAGCATTAGCAACAGGTTTGATTGACAGTGTTGCTAAATGCCTCTGCTAAACGTTACCTTCAACAGCCTCACTCTGGATGGGCTCTTTGGTTGCTATGAAACTCTCGATTGTAATTCGAAATATGGAACTCTGCTCTAAATTTGCCCCTATGACTGCTAGACTAGATGAGCTTCATTCGGGTGGAACTGATTGCTATAGGTGACATTTCACTCATTTAGTCCACTTCTTTACAGTCTATGGAGTAGCTGGAATAGCTGAACATGCAGTGCTATGCCACCGCACAGTTCTAACTCGAAAGCACTTTAAAAAAAAAAGAATAAATCGAGAAGAAAAGAGAAAGAAAGAGGATAATTCTAGTAAGTTCCTTGTATGTCATCATACTTGTTGGTGCCAGTATATGGGTGGTGCAAGTAGTAAGGAATTTGAAATATCTTTGCCTACTACTAAAAATTCTACAAGCATGTCATGCGTAAGATACACCCAGAAAGATCATGTGTTTATTTTCATTGTAGTAATTCCTGAAAGAGATGGAATGCCAAGCAGGACAAACTAGCCAGACACTCATTAAGTACATAGTAAGTCTGATTATGTTAACACTTCTTTGTTTTGCTTTAGCATCCACGCTAGAAGATCGAAGTCAAATTATCTACTATTTGTATTACAATAAAGTTCAAATTTGGCTTTTTTTTTTTTTTTTTTTTAATTAGTCGTCACTATTACAATTTTTAGCATCTGCAGAGTCCCACAGTCAATGCTGGCTGTTCTGTGTTAACAGTAGCTGCATATGCAAATTAAATGGAAAAGTCACGGCATTGGAATTTCATATCATCCCCTAGCAAGCAAAGATAAATCATGAGCAAAATGAAATGGTCCAACCTTAAATATAGGCTGATAATGCAATTCACAATTTTTCACATGGAGATAGTGTGAGACAAGCTAGTGTCACATTCTGCATCATGACTTTGCCAATTCAAATTCCTCTTCTAAAAAAAAAAATCTACTATTGTATGTGAGATGCATTTTATCTCACTGTGCACCTGCATCCATTCCCCTTGAAATGTACACTAAACCTTCTGCTCAGGGGAACTCAATGGTGCAGGTTTATTGGTGTTTCCTTTCTGCCTTCATTTGTCTGGGGGCTTTTAATTCTTCAAATACCAAGATCTGCAAACTTCACTGCTTCAGGAAAGGCGCAGCACAGTCGAACATTTGAATATGTCAAAATATGCCATTGGGGAAGAGGATTCAGACTATTTAAAAGGAAAACCTGTTGCAATATTTATTTTTGCATCATGCATATTCTTGGCATGCGTATCGGCTTTTAAAATTCCTTATCTGTGAGCTCCTTATCCTTAGCTTTTGGAGAAGTACCTCAATTTTTACCCATTATGAAACATCAAAGCAGCCAAGTAAGGTATCCAAGGTAACCAAGCTTATGTCATGTGGCTTTGGTTTCTATATGAGACCCCAATCAGCTTAATAAGATCAGAAAGAAAAGATCGGGGGGGTACAAAAGATGTAAAAAGATGGAGAAGTAGAAAAAAAATAGAATGGAGAGTTTAGGTTTAAAAGGGCAAAAACAGGCTGAAAGTTGATGACCTACAAAATACAAGGCTAAACCAGAAAAACAAGATCCACTAGTTATGTGAGTACGCCATGCCCAAAAGGCACCAGACTTTACAGTAAGCAACGAGCCACAAAGAGAGAGATAGAGAGATGGTCAAGTATGACAAAACAGAATCACTTATTTGTTAAGATTATCAACGATAATGCACGATTTTTGGGGAAAATCTACTTAAGTGATTTTTACAACCTATTACAATTTGATATACAGTTTGATAAGGTTTCAGTTCTCAGAGCACACTTAAGCACTTTAGACATTAGCATTAAAACTTAAGAAAAGACTGAAATGTGAAGTGCTAAACTAATACAAGATCCCCCAAAACATTTAACGACATTTTCAGGGGTTTGAACTGCATTTATCCAAATTTATGCATAAAGACAAGACATTTTATTTATAGGAGACATTACATAAATATTTGCAGTCTTTTTAATCTAATAAAACAGTTCAAATTTGTTGTTAGATTATTGTGATATGTCGTCAATTAAAAGCCTTATAATATACTATAATGATAAAAACACTTCTCCAACATGTCAGTATGGTCACTGCTGGTGCAGCTCCCCAAATTCACATGTGAGTGATTGGCAAGTGGATTAGCCAGTCAGGGAAACCCGTGGCCCGTCCATGTCAAAAAACATCAGATTTCTGCAGAATCAATGAGCGAAACACTAAACTGGGTAGGGAAATGTGGATTAGGGTCAAAATGATGATCAATGAGCTCCTTCTCCTGAGCATTACAGAAATAAACTAATCTGACAGCTCCAAAGTAATTTTAAAAATCTTTTTATTTGTATTTATAATCAAGTTTATACAAGTTTTTAACCACCCAGGCTTGTCTCTCTCTCCTCCTTATACTTATCAGTCCTTATACTGTTATTATGTGAGACAGATTTACAACTAAGTGCCTGAGTGTGTTTAAAAACAATACAGTCCCCTATGGTGTCAGTCATTATGGGAACATATTGATCAAACCCATCATTTACATTTCTGATGTTGACACTTGGTAACCAACAGAAGGGTGGAGCTTCCTGTCTATTCACAGTTAGGACACAGAAAATAAAACAACCACAAACCTCATAGCATTAAACGACACAGTAATAGACATCACTGGGGTCTGGTCTGAAGGGCTACACAACATATCGCAATCAAATAAGCAAGTAATAATAATAGAAAAATACTCTTTAGACTTGATACAACCATGCTCTGAAATGCAGGCGATTCTTGTATCATCATCAGATCAGTTCATATTTCAGTCTTCTCTCAAAGATTAATAATTCGAGTTGTTTACAATGTGCAAATTGCAATATTTGTCTGAAAAACAGCAGTTTTCCCAGCCATAGTCACTCTAAAATAAAGAAAGTTATAGACTGTGACAAATGGACAGCAGGATGTGAATTTTCTACACTTCTAAACTCAGAGACTATTGGCTTAATTGCACTGCTTGAAAAATGTGGATTTACAGAGGTTTTGACAGGCATACAAAGATATTATCCATGTAGATACTGACCCATCTGTTCTCGGGGACACAGCCATGCACTGACGGTTGAATAAACTTTCCCACTTGTTTCAACAGTTGGTGTGTGTGTTTATGGCTGTGCATTTTTCACAAAGCAAAGAACCCCTTTATTCCCTTCTGGCCCCTGTTATAGCCCTTTTAAACAAGCGGAACAACTGAGTGAGACAGCACAAGACAACAAGTCCCTTTATGACAAGCATAGTTGGGCAAAATACAGACTTCTTGGATGTCAGGACCCCTATCTTCACTGAAATGGGTAGCAAAGTGCCCCCAGCTGGCTAACTATTGAGAATGCAGTTCATGTTTCTTTATGAGAGCCCCACTATTGCATACAGCTAATAGAGGAAATTAAAGAACAAGAACAAGAGATGACACAGAATGGGAAAACTAAAATAGCTTATAGAGTAAAGAGATCCAATTAAGGAAGAAGGAAGTGCTAGGTAACATATTTTAATAGCACCAGAACTGACTAATATAGTGATGTAAAGAAGCCAAAGGTGAACATAATACGATTCAGGTTCTCAATAAAGCGGAGCGTATCTAACTTTACACTTCTAATGTCAGTACACAATGCGGATAGATTTTTAGAGTAACTTTAAAATACCCTCAATATTCAAGTAAGGAAAAAATAAAATAGCATTTGTAGACTTTTAGAACTCATATCTTCATGCATTTCAGAGTTATAGAGAGAACAGCGTGTGAATCTTATGCCACATCTTGTGAATGAGTTCTCCCCCTAGGCAAGGCCACGGTAATCATATATTTCTCACCACTACAATATGATGTGATCCGATCACATGGAAGACGGGTATCTAGTCACAAAAGTTAAGACAATGACACCAGTATCACATGTGGTAAGCAGTGCGTCACTTAAGAAGGACCAAGGACGCTGTCGGAGGTATTTCACAGGCTAATTGAGATCAAGTTTGTCCCTAAAAGCTGTTGTTGACTCCTGATCTACATGATGTAACACACTGCTTTCAAAGTGTCAACAATACACATCACATGAACATGCAGGCTGGGGCTCACATGACAGACAAAAAACATACCAAACAACAAAAATGAAACCAATCATTCATACAAAAATATTGGTTTAATACTGTGTTATTATATGGGGAATGTCCAAAAGCAAAAAAAATAATATATCAATCATGCCTACTATAACCCAGTTCCTATTTATGGAGCTTTATAAATAATTTGTGCAAAAAAACAAGTGACCATTGCCTTGGATAAATGCAGAAATGCAGTCTGTGGCACTAACTGAATGTTTTGCATCATATATTTTAAGACAACAATTACAATTTATCAAGATTATAACAGACTGATGGTGTGAATAGTTTTAATGCTAAAATGCTGATTCTACCAACACGCAAACAGATTATGCATTATTGTGAAATCAAGGATGACAATTTCTCAGTAAAATGGTTCTTGAAAATTTGGTTGTGACAGAGATAGTATTAAGTCAACGTAAAAATCCAATTTAGTATTTCAGAGCTTGGCTGATTTATCTCAAAGCTGAATTAGTCTAAATCGGTTCATTTTAAAGATAGAATGCTATTACTACGACTACATAGCAGCATTTTGGAGAACGTAGCTAGATAAAAAATTTATAGCCTAGTAGTAGCCTATAATCTGTGGATGCAACACAGAATCGAAACGAGCGGAAGTAGGTGAACCTGTCATATGAATCAGTAGGCCTGCTGCTGATAGACGTGGAATACCGCTTTGCATTTTAAGAGGTCGCTCAAAGCAAGGCAAAAACAACAAAAGATGGACAATAAATAAGATAAAAGGAAAAAATGCGAAATAAACTAAAGAAATGATATGGATACATCAGTGCACTCGCTACAGTGGATGCCTCTCCTCACCCCACCCATCTCAGTGTGAGCTACGATGGAAGCTAACGGGACTCCCATTCATGCGCGAAAATGATCCAAAAACGCCCCAAAACTACCGCTTTGTTTTATATTTATACATTCCTCTGCAACATCCACGACTATTTCCTGTTTCTGTTCTGGCTGCTAAGAAACAGGAACGATGCTTTTGAGGGAAAAACAGATCTACTCGTCTCCAGCCATCATCACTACACAGCTCACATCTCCAGCGCAGCCCCCGCTCGCTCTCTGCTCGCTCCATCTCCGCTGCGGCTCCGATCCCGTTACTTTTACGCACACCACGTACCTGTAAATTGCATGTCCGTCCGGCGAGACAGAAAGGCGACTGGACTGTGCCGCGGTTGGCGACAGCGGTCCACCGTTTGCCGATGGTTTTTATTTCTCGTCTTCACCACCGACTGATGCTCTAGTTTCGCCCAGTGCCGAGCGAGTGCTAATCCACCCCACACAAAGAGCAGAAAATGGCTGCAAGTGCATTTTCTTAAAGGGACAGTCGCCTCACCGCCGTGTCGAGAGAGGGATGATGGTGAGGTCCCCCCGACATGTTGATTCAGGCATCATTCTTTTCATTTAATCTATTTCATACGATCTAGGACAAAATGCGGCATTTGGATTACGTGATTCCAGTGACTGTACAAATTTATGATGGTTTCATGCTGTCACTTCTGATATTTGAATGAGCAAACAATCTGGAAAAAAATTGACAAATTGTTAATGTATTTTATTGTAAGATCATTTATTGTAAGATAAAGTAAGATTTGTCATTTCTTACTATTGTTTGCCACACAGATTAAAGGTCTGTTTTAGTAGTTGTAGTAACTGCAGTAGCAGTAGGCCTAGTAGCAGTCGAAGAAGTAAAGGCCTAGAATTAGTGTAATAATCCATAATACTGAAAATGTAGTCCATTTTTTGTCTGAGATCTATTCACATTTTTATCATTTATTAAACAAACATATCCAGTTTTGACTGTGCCATCATAATGAACTAGAGGCGAAACTAGAGACAGACAAAAAAGCATTGCATAAAAATAGGCCTACTTCAAACTCATCTGAGTAGAGACAAATATGTGGACTAAGGAATGATTGTATAACAAAATATGTATTTTTTTTATATTACAGTAGGTTGCATGTTGCCCCATATTTCAAACCTTCAATGTAAAACCACAACAGAAATAGAGCAAAGGTTGAGTCAACAGTGTAAAATAATAGACCTAGATTGTATTGTTTTCATTCATTTGGAAGGCTCGGTAATTGATGCAGAAGCTGAGCAAATGTTGGACGATCTTCCGGCTTCTGAAACAGAAAACACAGAATCACAACAATGCCACAGGCTAAATATATACTAAATACTATACTGAAATGTCACACTTACTTCCTTCCAGCACCACTTCATGAGTACATGCACATCTTCTGGGGCTAAGTCTGGCTTTGGCAGTCTCTGTCCTCTGTTGACTGAGTTTACCACCTCCATATTGTTCTGTTTCTCATAAGGTAAACGACCTTCACTGTATACCTCCCACATGAGCACACCTGGACATAAGTAATAAACACATCTTTAAATCATTGCACTACACAAAATGATATCATTAAACACCAGTTTTCCTTCCTACAAGAAATATAATATCATGCTCCTTACAGTAATGTATGTGAATGCATTTGGACTTAAAGCATTAAAGAAACATACCAAAAGACCAGACATCAGCCTTGCTGCTGTACTTCCCATATCGAATAACCTCAGGGGCAGACCACCTTATAGGAAACTTTGAGTTTTGAGAGCTTGTATAGTCATTATCCAGTACAAATCTATTAATCAAATACACATTAGAACTTTATAGTTACAAAAATTATCCTAAAGGAGAAATACCTTGCCATGCCGAAATCTGCCACTTTGACAACATTATCCTTCGAGACCAGACAATTTCTTGCTGCCTGTGCAGATATTAAATATTATTATATTTTTTACAGATGTATAGGTATAAAAGTAAAAATCACAGACTTACCAGATCCCTGTGTAAGTAATTGGAGCTCTCTAAGTAATTCATTCCCTCACAAACATCCAAACACATCCCCAGTAGTGCTTCCTGTGACAGGTCCCCTTTCTTGACCCTCAGATAGTCCAGCAATGCACCCTGCTCCATGAACTCAAACACCATACACATGGGCGAGCGCTGTGTGCACACTCCATACAGCTGGACCAGCTTACAGTGGGACAGTTTCCTAAAGTAAGAAACAAGTTAATTTTTGTAAAATCTACATTGTATATTACATTATGTACTTACATCATTACTTTTGCCTCCTCTTTAAATTCTTCCTCTGACATAGCTCCTTCTTTTATCATCTTCACTGCCACTTTCTTGTCCCTCCATGTTCCTCCCATCACCAAACCAAACTGCCCACAACCTAATTTTTCCTCCAGTTTCAGCTCTAAAGGATTCATCTCCCTATCTGTACAACACACAGAAGTATTAGCATCAATTTAAAATGTTGAGTTTCTAGCATTATGACATTTGACACTAGCAAGTATCAAAATTAACTTTAAGAAAATGTAACAACAGAAACCTTCAAATGGATCATCAGGTACTATAGAGGGCCGTCGATCACTCAATGGACGAGAAACAGGATGCCTTAGTCGTGTTACCATCCCTGCAAAAGCATTGAAGAAATATACACTCACTTCAGTATAATCAAATATACAAAGTGTTTATGTCTTTATGTTTATTTTAATTCATTACCAGCACAATCATGTTGATGATAATGCACAAGCTCAGGAATGGTGCTGAATGACTTCTTTTCTGCCACGTAAAATGGTGCTTCACTGTTTAATTTCTGTCTGATAAGGTAATGCCTCACATTTGGTTTCCTCTCAGCATTGGCCCTAACGAGGCACAAGGAAGAGAAAGTCAAAACACTTACCAAAAGGAAGCAACTGTATCTGAGACGAAATAATCTTTATACCCAGGCACATTGGAGAATACAGACACTGTGTATTGACCTGGCCTACTAGATCTGCGCACCATGAATGCACCTTCTTTGGCCTAAAGCAGAGTACAGTTCATTCTCAATCATCTATGTCTTTGTTGAAGACAAATATAGTGCTATAACTATAACGTTTAGTTACCTACCTCTTTTGACAATAATTGTGTTGCTTCGTCACTTTTAATGTCATTATTGAACCACCTAAATTTGAAAAACATTCAAAAGTTAAAGAAAACCTGTAGTAGACTTGAGGTGGACCAAACTAGAATTGAACCTTACTCAAATCGACTAAAGTTAGTTTCAAATTTTCCAGCAACATATGTACTAGGTACGAGCCCTGTCTTCCTAAAACAAACAAACAAAAAAAATAATCAAGGCAATAAGTGAAGCAATACACACAAGAGTACAACATAGTGAATGTTGTTAATAAGAGAAAATGTAATATAATGTAATGTATAATATAACGTACCCCTCCAAATCCTGCACCAACCACCGATCCAAATCTGAGTCGTCAAGTAAAATGTACTTCTGATCTTTTTTTATTTGTAAGTCTCCTATTTCAGTTGGTGTAAAGTCTTGTATAGCTGTGACCACCCTCATGTCAGTATGAGGCTGTATCATCTGATGCAAAACAGAAAAGAATAGTCAACCAATAATCAACAAAATAAGATAAGATAGAAGGCAAGACAAGTCAGTTTTTCACCTCAGGATTTGGCATGGGAGGTTTTTTAGATGCTGTAAAACGAAATATATAAATGAAAATATATTATGTGCTATTGTCTTATTTTATAATTTAGAATTCTACTTCACTGACCTAAAGTCGTATGGTCATATTCGGTACATCCCAATGCCAGTTTCTCTGTCTGCTGGCAACATCTCCATTTACCTTCCATCCACATGTCTGGGTGGTACTTAGTGACAGTATCATTACATTGTGTCTCTAATAAAATAGATATGATATGATTATAAAATAGGATAATATATTATTTTTCGTGTGTAGTCATTCTTTTTATTTACCTTCTTTCAGAGCGGTTACCCATTGCTGCCGACAGTTGTTGTCAGGAGCAAAAATGTAGAGGTAGTAGTTGTCATAAAATATCTGAGTAGACACTGACATTAGATTATCATTTTACATTACATTAATAACAAAAGTAAAAGTCATAATGCATACCTGAAAGGGAAATTTAAAATTGCATGGAATGGGGAGCTCAGTATTCACAACCTCTACGAACTTTATTTTGTTCAATTCAACTGATCCTTTCAAAACAGGCTTTTTCTACGACAAAAACAAATAAAATTAAATTAAATAAAAACAAAATATTAGTTATTAGCACTAGGAGTTATTTCTGGCTGACACTTGGCAATAAATCACTGTAAAGTCGTCATACTTACCCCTGGACGGCACTCAGAGTATTTCAGTTCTTTAGTGTCCAATACAAAGAATCTTTCCTTGTAATTTTCTGGAGATCCAATTTTCTTCTGTTGAGATTTCTTGATCAGTATCCCATTTAAAATAACCCTTGGAAACATGTCTAAACCTTTTACCAAAACAAAAGTCGTTCATCTGCAAGTAAAGTGTTCTCCTTGTAGTTCATCTGATTTATCTGTTTGAATCTGAAGGTTGGAAAACTTGTTAACCTCTCGAAGGCTTCCGGGCATAGTTGTTGCACCTGGTTAACCACATCCTTCAGGCATGTGTTATGCACTGTAAACAGGGAGTTGCACCTGCTGGTGATCACAGACACCACCAATCAATTGTTCATTAAAAAGCAATGACATAATAAATTGCAAGTATGACAACATTAAATAAATATTGCTTAGATTATCAGGCAAGCCGTCTTTTGCGAGAGAAATGTGACAGGCTGTGAGTATCTGGCGCCACCATCTGGAGAAAAATAAAATAATGTAGGTAAACAAATACTAGAAATAGTGTGGAGAATCGAAAGTAATTTCAACATCCAGTGAAAAGAGTTATAAGAGATACGAAAAATCTCAAATAAATAACTTGTTAAAAAATCTACAGTCCTGTTGATTGTGATATGTTGCTTTCATTTTCTTATTTCCTGCATCTTGGAACGTAAATTAAAATACATCGAGAAATAATATAAAGACCTTAGCACTTTAGCGGAATGAACGACCACCTTTATGAAACATAAAGTAGATCTAACGCAAAAATACTTTATCTAATCAAAACCCTTACTACTCGTATGTGCAGAGCAACCAGCCAATCAGCATCAAGCTTTTATCATTCGTCGCTTTGCGTTTGAGTGATGTAAAATGTCGAGTTAACAATGAGCTTAATATCTAATTTTAACGTTGTTTAGACTATTTTTGGACATTTATTCATACAGTTAGAAACCCGGGAGGCAGGTACAAGGTATGTGTGTACTTTGGTTCTTTCTATGCTGTCGTAGATCTAACGTTTGGCTTGAATGTGTTTATGCTAAAGCTAGAGCTAGTAGCAGTGCTAAGCTAGCTGTGGATATCTTCATTCATTTAGGTCGCTTAAACGTTTAAGAAAGCACAAGGAGCACCATCTGTATATTATTTTAATTTGTGAAATTACAGTGTTGCACTTTAAAACCTGCACTATTTCTTTTTTGTCATGGATAACCTATACATAATCTATACGCAGTGGTTTTCTGTGCGTCTTAACTTAAAGCTGTTGTTTCTTACTTAAAGATGCACTATGTGTTTTATCTTATGGAGGGTCCGCCACCTGCTTGTAATTTAAATAAATGCAAGGCAGACATGTTTAAATGCCATATTGTGGAAATTCCAAGAAAAGTACCAATAGAAAAGTTTCATAATGCACTTTTAAACTATGAACAATTCCAACACAAATAATGGTGTTTACTTTGACTAATTGTGCCTCAAAATGTGTTATGTAACATTATCTAATGGAATGTGTTTTGTTGCATTTTTACAGATCACCATCATGGGGGAACCACAGCAGGTCAGCGCCCTCCCACCCCCTCCCATGCAGTACATCAAAGAATACACAGATGAAAACATACGTAAAGGTCTGGCTCCTAAGCCTCCTCCCCCCATCAGAGACAGCTACATGATGTTTGGAAACCAGTTCCAGTGTGACGACCTGATCATTCGCCCTTTGGAGAGTCAAGGCATCGAAAGACTGCACCCCATACAGTTCGACCACAAACGCGAACTAAAGAAACTCAATATGTCTATTCTCATAAACTTCCTGGACTTACTGGACATTCTTATTAAAAGCCCTGGGAGTATAAAACGCGAGGAAAAGCTGGAAGACATTAAACTACTGTTTGTTCATATGCATCACTTAATAAATGAATACAGACCGCATCAAGCCAGAGAGACACTGAGGGTGATGATGGAGGTACAGAAGAGACAGAGGCTGGAGACAGCCGAGCGCTTTCAGAAACACCTGGAGAGAGTAGTGGAGATGATCCAGGGCTGCCTCGCGTCACTACCTGATGATTTGCCTCAGATGGATGGGGCTGAGGGCTCCGGTGAAACTATACGGAGCACACCTGTAACACTAGCCAGCGCAACTACACCCAGAATGAAGACTGAGCCCATGGATGTAGAAGAGGCAGGGGCCAGCTGTATGGCAACTACTCAACAGGACAAACCTACAAATAGCCAAAAACGGGACAAAATGTGGGACAAAGATGCTGCTATGTGTAGTATCATTGATGAAATTGCTTAACTTATGAAAACAGGATATGTATATGTACTTTTTTGGTTTAGATTATGCTTATTTCTTAAAATATTGCCACATAGTCACATACTGTAACTCCCATGTTTCCATTTTTGCTTTTGTTGATCCAAATAAACTCATGATAAAACATCTTGTGGAGTCTTGTGGAATTCTGATTGTACAAGTGAATAGTCACACACCCTAAACTTGTAAATGTGGTTATACAAGGCCCAGATGGCACTGTTAACCTGCCCCAACAATATAATTGGTGTATTAGTGATGAGGCTTTGTTTTTCAGTATTTCGCAAGAATGTTTATGAAACTAATACTTTCCCAATTTCTTTGAGTGACAACAAGTTTGATAAGGATGGTTTAACAAACATGAGCTTTTGATCCAAGTTGTTGTGTCCCATCTAAATGTGGATATCTTTGTAGTTCTCCACCAGATCTGACCCATGGATCTATTATAACATCTGACAATTCTGACAAATAACAACTTGTATAACCAGAAAATTATGACACTGCTAAACAATCACTTGTGAAATCAACCCTATAGTTTGATCTATAAAACGTTTAGCCTCATCATAAAAAAAAATAATCACTCTGCCTTAGTGATATGTAGTCTTTAAATATAGTTTGATTTCTGCTAGGATTTCAAACAAACGCAAGATTGATGTGTTTTTACTGAGCCCACCCCGTCTCCGTAACAATAGTCCCGCACCGGGATTCCCTTCTGTGCATGCTACTCGGGGTGAACCGGTGGGCTGCGGTACACACATTTAAAATTTTACATTTGTCAAAGTTCATACTGCACAATTATAAACTAGGTTTATGTTATTATTATTACGTTTAAACAAATAACAAGACTTTTTTCAGTGAAATTGTGTTATGAAACTTGTCACCCTTGCGTTTCACAACAGGGCGGAAAACTCGCTTTTCGTCCAATCGCGTTGCCCGTAGCAGGTCACGTGATCTTTATTTATGTAATGTAATGGTGTTACACAGTAACCTCTCTTGTGGCTGAAGAATCGTCGCTGCTGGAGGTAAAATCGGACGAAGACTGGTGCTAGAATATTTTATAAATGTGGACATATTTTTTTTATCGTTTCCGGGAGTGTCTCAGGAGTTAGCAGCCACAGACAAGACGAAAAAGGGACACAAAGCAGAGTTTCTATTCATTCTTGAGTGGGGACATAGCATGCGTTTAACGACAGAAATAGGCTATTGTGCACGCCTTCTGGATAATGTCAACGCGTAACTGGGACTAAAGTGCATTATTAGGGCAGGATAGATTACCTAGAGTTGATGCATGGTCTCTTTTTTTCCTGTTTGAAGGAGCCCTAAACAGATGTTGTCAGAAGAGCGACACGTCGCAGCTGTCTGAGCGCATGTAAACTGTCGATGCAGCGCTACTGTAGCTTACCAAAAAGTGCTGCAACGAGGACTCTCACACTTTCTGCTTGGCACATTTAGATCTGTATGACATAGACTTTCCCATTCACGATGGAGCTGATGGAGTGTCCGCTCTGTCTCTTCCTGATGTGCGAGCCGGTGACCGTGTCCTGTGGTCACACGTTTTGCCGGAGATGCGTCAGGAGTTTCCTCCCGTCCAAATGTCCCCTGTGCAAAGAGAGATTAAAACCCAGGGATGTAAGGGCGATGAAAAACAACGTGCTGCTCATCAGTGTGGCTGAAAAGTGCTGGCCCGAAGAGACGAAGATGAAATGCCACATCCAGGAGAAGCTGAAAGCTGGACAGTTCATTGAAGCTTTACGCATCACCAACGAGGGCATAGACTCGGGTAAGAGCCATGCGTAAGACGTAAAGCGAGAGACACGCTGGTAACACAATTTGTAAAAAAAAAAAAAATTCAGTTTTGTTGCCTTAAAAGTGGGTCAGAAAATAGCCATTGGCCTGTGTTATGCATTTTATAGGCCAGGCATTAGCCTACATTACTTGTATTTACCAAAAGTGAGTCAGAGAAAACCATCATGATGTATCTTTCAACAAAAGTCTTTTTGTAATAATCCATGGTTTAGTATTACTGACCCAGACAGTAATCAGAATTTATCTTCAAAGGTGCATTTGACCTTTTTTTGCCCAGACCTGAGAGTTCTGATCTAGATCAGTTTATGCTGACACAAGCTTTGAGCCCATATGTGCATTTATTCGGGCAAATATCCTTGAAATGATCTTTAAAATTGTTGCCTATAAAAGAACAATAAAATAATAAAGTCAAAGGCAAGGATCTGCAGAAAATACAACCTTTCATTTCCTTCAGCACGTCACACCCTTATAAATGTAACGACTGTCATTAAGTAGCGTCCAATGTTTGACAAGATGTAAAATTTTGGAATTTTTAATTTTGTAATTGCAGATATGAATAAACCAGTACTATGACTTAAGCTTTTGTTAATGTAGTTAGTTACTAATGAAATAGTAATAATAATAGTAATGAAGTTTTTTTGTAACTCCACAGTCCCTGAGGATCTCAGTCTCAAGTTGTACAGAGCTGACGCCAACATGGGCCTCCTGCATTTACCTGATGCTCTGACCGATCTTGACTACCTCTGCTGCCTTCGACCCAACTGGACTGAGGTGAGGGGAAGCCACATAACAAACATATTACATTGGATGTAGAGGATTCTAATATCTATTCCAAAATAATACAGAAGTTGATTCTTCAAAGTAACTTAAAATTATATGAAAATAAAATTACCATGCATGTTGCTAGTATCAGTTAGAAGAACTGTCACATAGAAATTCATTTGTTTGCACAATTAAGTGTAGTGTGCATGCAGTAAAATAAAACATGTACATAATAATAATAATAATAATAATAATAATAATAATAATACAATGTAAATAACTGACACATTATCAAGGTTTGAGGAGTACTGCATAGTTGAACTTAAAATACCCTGTCAGACTTGCATGGCTTGCATGATGTTTTGTTTTCAGGTATGACTTTTCTTTTTTTCTTTTTTTATTGCAGTTATGTCATTTATGCCAGGGTTACGCAAACTTCCTCTTACTGTTATTTAATCTCTCTATGTCAGTGGGTTAACATCACTACTACAGATTAGTATTCCTCTGTGCTCTGGTTAGTTATGTTTTCTCATGTTATAATTTTAGAAGCTTGCAATGACATGTTATGGCACTCCAGCTGCAGCATGCTCATCAGAACTGTTGTTTGTGCAGGGCCTGTTTCGTAAAGGGAATGTACTGCTGGAAATGGGTCAGCAGATGCAAGCACTCATCCACTTTCACAGATGCCTAAAAATCCAAGCCGACTTTGTCCCTGCAAAAACCCAGATAAAAAAGGTGTGCTCATTGTTGTTTTACCATAATGTGCTTATTATACAGCTAGAGACATAGCTTCTTCTTTAGGTACTGCTTTGTTACTATTATCATATTCATTGTAAACAATATGACAGTTTTTAGAGTAATTTTAAAATGTGAAATAACAGTTCTTGGAAAGTTAGTAATTTGTTGTTTTAAGACACATTCCTGTTCCTTAGTAAAAACTCTTTGAAGCAGAAACCATTTCATGCTTAGTGGTTTTTGGCACCTCAGAAGAGATAAGAAAACATTAACTTAAGTGTATTTCAATTTAGAGGGAGAAATTGTAAGATTTTGTTATTACAACAATAGAGACACTACAATAAATGTCTTGTTTTTTATTATGAGCAAAATATTCAATTTTTTAAATTTAATTTTTTTAAATATATATTTGTACATTGGGGTTTACTTTTTTGGAGAGTATATTCAGTTGAAATTACTAACTTACTTTTGTTTCTCAAATGGTCATAACATTATTTTTGAATTCTTACAATGACATTGTGACCCGAATAATCATAATGATCAGTTACCTGAATCTTGACATTTTTATTCAAATGTGTATGTGGGTAACAGTATCTATTTTAGTATTCTTAGTTCAATTTGACAATCCTGTATTGGCAGATCCTGGAGGCCGAGGGTGTAGCAGTGCCCGAGGAGCTGCCCAGTATGCTGCAGGTTGTTGCTGAGTATTTGAAAGAGCCTTTTCCTATCACCAGCCTGAGCAGCTCCCAGGGGACCCTCAGTCACCCTAGAGGAGTGGAGGGGGAGGGCGACACCACGAGAGGGCCTCCGCAGGTATACGATCCTCAGGTTTCTCACAGTTTAAATCTCTGTCCTTAAAGGCTCTGCTCCTAAACCCCATGTGTCTCAAAGGTGAAACAGGACACTGGTACAGAGTGCTGTCTCTCCCTGTGCCAGGCTGTGTCCTTCCTCCCTGCAGCTGACGAAGATGAGGAGCTGATGATGAGAAAAGAGTTTGTGCAGTGCAGAGGTACAGTATCCTGCTTGAAGCATTTCTGACAACAAATTGAGAATAAAGCAAATATATAGATTTATTCATTCATAGTTTCATTAATCAAGGGTTAAGACCCTAACTACCGAGCTCCCAGACTAGCTGAAGGTTCACTTTAGATTTATTTACTTTTCTTTTGCCACAATATTATGGTTATTATTGCTTAATACAGTATTTCATATTAATAGAGAAGACTATGGTGGCCCCCATAGTCCATTTTTTGCCTGCCATAGTCTAAAAAGAAGCTGAACATAAATTGGTGATACAATACTCCTTTATACTTCTGGTATTGTCATAATACACAGATAACTAATTTGTAATCAGTGCTTTTTTCATTAATATGGGCAATAAGTTATTTTTTTTTCTCCATAAATTGTCTTGTAAAAACATTACTGAAACATGGATTGCTTGTGCCACCATAGTCTTAATATAAACCTGTAAGAAACATGTGATGTAGGAGACATGTTATGTAAAACCATGCAGATATTCTATCATTGTCCTCGCATCTGTTTCTCTGCTATTTGTCAAAATTATAATGTTATTATAGTCATACAAAAAATGTTCTTTTCTGTCTTGTTTTAGCCGAAAACAGCCTGAACCGAGAGAAAACTCTGAGTACCTTGAGTGTGTCAGACTTTGAATGCCCACTCTGCATCAGGTCAGTGCTCCCAAATCAATAACACTTCTCTAACTGCACTTAGCCTAGTGTTGAGTCATATATCACAGTGAGTATATTACCATTCACAAGTTTATCTTATTAAATGTATTCAAATACACTTCCATGAGGTCAATAAAGACATTTACTTATGGCTTGTGCCTGTTTTGTTTTTCAAGATTGTTTTTTGAGCCAGTCACTACACCATGTGGTCACACATTTTGTAAAAACTGCATGGAAAGAAGTTTGGACCACAACCTCCGCTGTCCACTCTGCAAGCAACCACTGCAAGAGGTATCCACACACTGACACATGACAAAGATTATGTGTGGATTTTATTTGTTTGCCTATAATGGTGTTTTCTTTTTAGTATTTTAAAAACAGGAAGTTCAATGTTACAGCTCTGCTACAAGATATGATGACCCGCTTATTCCCATCCCAACTGGCAGAAAGGGAAGAAATCCACAACAATGAGATGGCTGAACTGTCAAAGTAAGATCTCTGATAGTTAATAACTAAAAACTATTGGATGGTATTTTATGATTCAAAAAGTTTGATCAATTTAGAAGCAAAAATAACTCAGTCTTTGCTTTGATTTCATAAAGTTGGTGCTACTAGAAAAAAGTGAAAGATTTGACTGTAAAGATGTGATAGTAATGTTGTAAAGTAATGTTTTTTTTCTCACTGCAATTATAACATAAACATTAATATTGTGATGGCCCTTGTCACAAATTAGGCTGATTTATTATATGCATTTAATTGTATTTTGTACATTTGAAGATTTCTATGATAATCTAAAATGTTATTTACAATGCAGTCATTTTTCTGTCCCAGCCTTACAAAGGACATCCCGATCTTCGTCTGCACTGTGGCGTACCCCGGGGTCCCCTGCCCACTGCACATCTTCGAGCCACGGTACCGCCTCATGATGCGACGTTGCATGGAGACGGGCACAAAAAAGTTTGGCATGTGCAGCTATGAGCATGGCAAAGGGTGAGTCATGCCAACCGCACACACAGAGATCTGTCCCAGTGCCACCCACATGAAATGGCACATTATGTTTTTGTTGTTTTGATCCGCACTGCAGGTGCAGAATATTAGATCAGTATAGATATGTTCACACATGCATTACATTCTGCAGAGTGATGCTTTTCTCTATGTAGCTTTTCTCTAGTCAGGCACCTGCTTGTATGTGTTGCACAGTATGGCATTAAACATTGGATTTATGCTATTTATGTTTATATTGCTAAAAAAAAGAAAGACCTGTAACTTGGCAAGGTGACATCACTTGTCTCCATAGAGCAAAGATATTTCTGTTCTTGTGAATGTAGAATGTATAGATGTCTGAAACAATCTAACAATGTTTTGGAATACATGCATTACAAATATATATAGGAAACAGTTGTGATCACTACTATCTTGGCATACCCTTAACTACACATAATAACAGATAAATGTTTTCTAAACATCCCGTAATGTTGTCCTCCTTCTCTCAGGTTTGCTGATTATGGATGCATGCTAGAGATCCATGGTCTGGAGCTGCTACCTGACGGACGCTCTTATGTGGACACAGTGGGAGGCAGCCGATTCAGAGTCTTAAGGAGAAGTCAAAGAGATGGATACCACACTGCGGATATCGAGTACCTAGAAGACCAGAGGGTAGAATATAGTTCCTAAATGATTATGAAAGATTATGAAATTATCGTTTTTAAAAGGATAAATCTTTGTTTGCTCAGGTTGATGGGAGTGACTTGGAGCTGCTGCAACGTTTACATGACAGTGTGTACCAGCAAGCTCAGGACTGGTACCAACGTCTGGGCAGTCGGTTCCGAGACCAGATCAACAGACAGTATGGGGCCATGCCAGCCACAGAGGACGATATTCAGGTAAACAATGTAACAGAGAGGAGATTTAGGTAGATTTATATAGATTAATCTATATAAAAACACTATCAGCCTATTATTTTATTAACTCTTTCCCCCATGAAGATGACATTTGATGACCCCCCCTGAACCCTTAATGACGACTTTTGACACCTCCGCTGTATCACTAAAGACGTGATTTGACGACCTTTAGAAATGGCTCGGTTTTTCACATTTAAACAGAGACTGCGATAGGCAGGGGCCACTACAACCCACACTAGGCTGACCATTAGGATTCAAGGATATGTTTTCGACGATTTTTTCCGAAGTTAATCGAAGTAGTGACGATGGTAGCTTCCGGAAAAAACACAACACGAAACACGTGCAATGGAAAGATCGCGCTGCAGCGCACAGTTTTAGAAATAATGAGGAGCAGACGTATTTTATGGATAAGTTTAGAGAAAGTGACTTTTATAGATTTCAAAGTGATGATGAGGGTGATTATAAAGTGGAAAACAGCGATAGCGACGGACTTACAGAGAGTGAATCTTACGAAGATGAGAATGCCGCTGATGTGTCTGTATGGAGTCCTGTGATATCCGAACAAACTATCCGGGCTTTATACTCAATTATGAACCAAAATTGCCCTGAAATCACTCGTGGAAGTCTGTTTTCTTTTATGCAATTATGCTCTATGGGTAGCCCTAGTAACATATGTATGGGTTGTTCCTAGTAGGCGTCCAGGGGGGAAAGAGTTAAGTAAATAAAAAATAATTGACATATTGTACTTTTTCTCATGACCAAAGTTTTGCTCCGACCTACCGTTTTGGTTACACCAGACTAATTTTTTCACTCACCTCTGTGCCTCAGACCAAACTTATACAAAGCACTGCAATCTTACTTGTTGAATTTGTTTTCAACATATTTATAATTTATTTTGCTGCAGATTAATAGGATTTAGTGCTCTGCCTTTTGCAGAAGTTTTTCACTTATAGGCAGCAATGTTTTGTTTTGTTTTTTTGTCTGTCTTTATAATAGACTCAAGGTTCACAGTTAAAAAGACAATACTGGAAAGAAAAGACTGACTATTCCTTGTATGTTCTGTCCAGGCTTCTGTCAACGGTCCCATATGGTGCTGGTGGCTGCTGTCAGTCCTGCAGCTGGACCCTGCCTATCAGACCACTGTCCTGTCTCTGACCTCTCTCAAAGACCGCCTGGGACATCTGCGTCTTGTCTTGGAGTACTTCTCTCAAAGCTAGACTTAAACCAGCTTAAAAATGAAACGCAAAACTCAAATGGTATATACCGTGTTTAGACTGTCTTGATCTTGGACTACTTTTGATAGGTTTGTTTTACTGACACAGCTCAAAGCCAAATCACTTGGGCCATAGAAACTACAACAACAACAATGCAGAAATAATAACTTGTATTTAAATATTTCTTAAGAATTCTTTAAGACTACAACAAAAATCACCTAAAACAACCACTAGATGTCACCATTGTCTATTTTTTTTTTTTTTACCAACAAGCAGTGTCTGGTAAGTCCAAGCTGTTCAAAACCCTTTTGTCAAATAAAAAAGATTAAGTTGCTATTTTTGAGATTTAGAATGTCTATGCACATAATATCTGTGACACTGCAGGTGGCAGTTTGGCATAGGGAGGGCTTGTATGCAGTAATGCTTGCTGTTTACTTTCTATCTGCCTTGAAGCCCATTTACTGTGGCCCTTTTTATACTATATAATTATATTCCCTGTTTAAAATTTACATTAGGAATCTTGCAATAATTGTAGTTGTTGAATGTGGTGCCCAATGGGATTTTTTTTGAATGAAAGTTGTAATGTGTTTGTGAATTGAATGGTCACATCTACATATTCAGTGCAGCTTTAATTTAAGCATTGAATGTGAGCGATCCCGTTTGAGTGAAAGTGAGAGGCGTTTTTTTTGTGAGCTCATAACTCATTTCTAAACCTGCAGTACTGCTATTAACATTGTTGCTATAATTTCACAGGTTCAAGTTAATATATTACAATATAATTCCCTTTGTTCAGTTAGTAAAAAGTAAAATAAAGTAAACCTTTAAAATAATCAAATAATGATTCAAGATAGTCTTCCAGTCATATAATATCAAAACTGAAGTGATTTGTGTCCAGAGCCCTTAATGTGCATCATAATAACTTAATTTAATCAGTGTATTGCAATTTATTGACTTGAACCAGTAGTTAGGTAACTGTTATTGTTATCTCTTTGGGTTAATATCTCAAAGCAGCCCAGAGTCTAATCATGCAGATGTTTTATTAGCTGCTAACTAATACTTTAAGTGCAATATCATTGTTTTTTTAAAAGGTCACTATAGCCATTTTAAACCAAACCTCAAACTAAGCAATTTTAAGTCTTAGCATTCTATGAAAATAAACAAAATAATATCAGCAATTTTATGTGTTGCTACATTCCATACATTTTTGCAATTAAGGCATTAAGAGAAAATAAGTGACAGAAGAAGCAGAAAGGTCTACTTTGCCTAAATGTGCTATAGCTATTTTATTTTGTTCATGTTTGCAGCCTACATCGTCTTCACATCCATTGCTTCTTGTGTGATCAGTGTACTTCTATTTTACTCAGCTTTCAATCACTTTACTCAAGCTTACAGAGAGAGTGGGTATTTCTTTGTACGTTTAGTTAATCAAGATGAATATGAAAAATGTCAGATTTAAGAATGTGCCAGTTTTTGTTTCCAGTGGGTTTACAGAAATTGTAGAGTTCATTGTTATAAAAAAATAAATAAGTTGGTGAAAAAGGGAGTTTTTTTTTTTTTTATGTTTGATGAATGACTAGTCACACAAGTGCAGAATACTTGGTGATAGCAATGCCAAACTGATTTTCACTCCTCTGTCCCTCTTTCTATCAGGAGATTTTGCTTGTTGTAAAATGTGTTTTCTAATGAATGAAATATTGTGCATTTGTGTCAATTAATAAAACATGTAAAACAAAATGCCTCATATCACAAACACTGATTGACTGTTTATAAAAAGATAACATTCACTTGCCTTATCTGCTTGAACTTTTATCACTATAGCTGCTTGTCAATGAGTTTGCAATAAAATCCTTTACGTGCCAATGATTAGATTGTAAATATGCCACAAGCCAAACTCTGTTGGTTTGCTTCTCCTCAGACCTGATGTGTAAATTGGCCCAGTGGTGTTATTCAATAGAGATAGGTATGTTTAATGTATAGCATGGGAAATTCTAGGCAAAGTAATGTCCATGCAGGTAGACCCTTCACCAAGAAGGTTACTTAGTGCACCTTTAACTCTTAACCTTTAAATTAAATAGAGTTATAAATATAGAGTTACTGTATTTGAAAATCTTACAATTTAAGAAAGCACAGCATATAGTGTCCATACTTGAAAAGACATTTCATTCATGTACATTTAGCAAAAAGAAAGAAAAAAAAAACTGTTTAAAAGATTCACTGTGCAAAGGAGTAGGAAGAAGCATATCATCTTTAATCCTACCCTTAATTTACAATATTTCACCTCCATGATATTCTTTTGTTTGTCATAAATAAGTCAGGCTTCACCATAGAGTTAAACTGTCATCATACAGTCATCTATATTAGTGTCTTTTTATAAATATTACAGAAATTGATTTAAAAAATAAGTCAGTATTTTTTTCATTTATGTAATAATATTCCAAGTATTTTTTTAATTTTTTTATAATGCTCCTTGTAAATAGATAGACTTGTTTACTCAGCACTGGAGTCCATTTAGAGACAGTTTCCCACCAGCGAGCGTTGCACACTGTGAGACTGTGAGCGGCGCCATGGAAACGTGTTCCTGTCATGGGCAGCCTCCAAGAGCTGTGTCATTCAGTTCATCTTCTGTCTGCTTTAGCAGACACATTACAGTCTGAATATCTCTAACCTCATGGCATCATTTAATATAAGTTTGCCATCCACTCTTAAAGTTGGTGATTTTTTAAATTTTTATTTTCTCCCTTTATTTAACCAACACCAATTGAAAAAAATATACAATATTAACATTGTGCCATCATTGTAATGTCATGTACTTCATGCTGAAGGAAAAGCAAAAGTAAAGGTGAAATGGGAGGAAGGGGCGGAGCCAAAAAAAAAAAACCCCCACACATTTAAAACGCAAGATTCAGCAAAAACAAAAACAAAACAAAAAATACTTTGTGGCACGTTTCAGAAACAGATTTTAAATAACATTATAGGTATTGGTGGTCATTAGTTACCTCACAGCTGATTAGCCATCAAAACATTTTCAAACTTTTAAAGGTGTACCATGTAACTTTTTGATTTGGGGGTCCATCACATTTGCTTCTATATATGTCATTACTTTACATTTAATGCTCCACAGTATGACAGTAAACAACTCTACCTTACATTTATTCAATTACAGGTGGTTTTATAGCTCAGAAATAAATAGAAAAACAGGCATTCTGATTGTGAGTGGGATTGCCTCTCCACCGATCTGACCTGTAACTTGGTCTGGTTTGGTCCATTACCAATAACATTAATAAGCAATAAAATTTCCATTGAGAAAAGCATTTGACAATTCCTCCACGAGAAAAGTTACACAATGCACCTTTAATGTTTTCTCTTCTTTCACATGATATAGTTAATAATTACAATGACAAAAAGTGGTCAGTAGAGAATTTGCTGTGCCCGCATTATGACATTTGTGTTTGTTGTGTTGGAGCTAAATTTGTCATTACAAAATAAGCATGAGTCACCTCTGTTGAGGCTGAGCAGAGGGTTAATATAACAGAATCACGCCTATAATTGTCACGCTTACCTAACACCAGCTAAACAGGAGGAGGAACTTTTACATATGCCACCTTCTGTCAGGTCAAGGGTTGGGGTTGCATGCATGCTTTTGTAACAATGATTTTACAGCTTCTTTTGATGACTGATTCCCCTGTGCTGTATTTTGTCATTCTTTTATTTATTTATTTTTTTTTCATTTTGGCATTTCCTATCCAGGGCTGCTGTAATTTTCTGCCTTCTGGAAAGCAGAGATTTGCATATTTAGTTCTGCTGAAGATTATAATGATCATGATGGATGCTTCGTGCAACCCTCTTTGAGTCAGGATGGTGCACCTATGAACACAGATATGAAATAAGAGCTTTGAGAGCTTGTCAAAATTGTAAAGCATAATAAAAGAGTAAGGCATTATTATTATTATTATTATTATTATTAGTAGTAGTAGTAGTAGTGGTAGTTGTAGTAGTAGTAGTATATAAAATAATTTTCAATAACATTTAACTTAACATCAGGAAATTAATGTATATATTTAAGGCATTATTGGTTCTATTTCTTATATATTAAAGTCCTATATTTTGCAAAATGCACCCTGCATTGTCTGTGTATCTTTTGTTCAGTAGAGATTGGCAATTGCAATTCTCCAAATGATTCTACTGAAGGTGTCTGAAGTTTAAAAACAGTGGAGCACTTCCTGTTTTTCCATATGACATCAGATGGTGGAACAAAATGTTTTCTGCTTGAAAGAAGATCTCCAGCTAAATATGCAGGTTTGTGTGTTAAACATGTGTGAATGAAACAAAACACAACTCCAGGTATGTTTGTGATGAGGAAACACCATTACAAGAAAATAGCGTAATTTGGGCACTTTAAGTAAAGGATTGTACAAGTGTGTGTGTGTGTTTTTTACTGGACATGCTACTGTGAGTCTTACATTTGTCGAATACATTTTATTCCACAAGAGGTCAGTATGCACATGCGCAAGAAATGGCAAAAACGATTTGGCTTGCAATAAAAAGAAATGAATGTGAACTCTCTCTTTCCTTTGAAACAAACCCAAGATGATGAAGTGCCCGGATTGGTCACATCATGCAAGATTACCCATCAAACGAAATACGGCCTGCTGGTTAACGCAAGAAAAATGTGTCTTTAACGAGCTGATTATAGCACATCATTTCCACTCAAAGAAGGGGCACGTGTGTCTGAGCCATTGCACATGACCCACGCGCTCTGAGGAAGCAGAAAAAAGCGCTGTAAACACAAGCGCACCACCACGCGCCTTGCCAACGTCCTGCACATAAGAAGCAGGCAGATGAAAAGAGACGGCCCAGGCTCGTGTACCAGCTCAGCGTCAACATCAAAGCCCATTACACTTGGAGAATGCCACTGCCTCCTCTGTGCTAAATTGATCTATCGGCTCGCGCTGACTCCCCGCTTGTGTACCACTGAGCGAGGATGACAGGCGTTTTGTAGGAGTTATCGCGCGAAGGGAGGAACTCGGTGTGCGCCCGGATAGTACGTCGCGTGTGTCTTAAATATTTCCGCAGTAAAGAGTACATTTTCCCCAAAGTGGCAGGGTAGATTAGCAAAATCCTTTCATGCAGGGAGCAGGATATTCTCGGTCGTTTTAAAGGATAGAAGTAATCATTTTGAAATATGATGGGTGATCCAAATAAATTTGAACATCCTTGACAGTGTGCCAAAGATGTCAGCGTAAAGTATTATGGAGATAACACAGGAGAGTGAAGTGACCTGTACTATGAGCAGGCCTCCCATGATAAACTATGGTATTAGTAGCTTAGTTTGCAAATCTTAGTTTGCAAAGTTAAATCCTGAATTGAGCTCTCTTCTTTTGCTCTTTCACTGCAGTAAAGTGTTTTTTTTTTTTTTTTTTTTTTTTTTAACTGTCATAGACCAGTTGTTTAAGTAGAAAAGCTTAAAGGTGCATTATGTAACGTTTCCAATAAGGGGGTCTGTCACTTTTTGTTTCCACAGACATGCCATGGCTGTGTCAGGAATGTCCCACAGTATGGCATTTAACTTATCTATGTAGCATTTATTCAGTTACAGTGTTTTTAGTGAAAACATGTCTTCTTACTGTAAGCGGGGTCACCGCTCCACAGATGTCACCTGTTACTTGGTCTGGTGGCGTGCCCTGCTTTTCTTCATGGAGATCAATAAGTTTAATGCTATACTGTGCAACCTTCTAGGCAAAGCAATATCGTCTCCATGGAGACAAGCAGGTGAGGGAGTCTACAACAGAAATGTTCACATGTTTGTTTGTATGTTTACACATACATGGGTATTTTTAAAAATGGAGATATTTCCCTTTGTTTGTACCCATCTTTTACACGTACACGGTGAATTCATCTCTGAAAACGAATCTTTCTAAAAACTCCAGCTAGAGTGGAGATTCTGGAAAACTACGGTTTGGCGTTTGCGTGTAAAGTGAGATAAACTGAGTTTTTGGGGCTGACGCTCCAAAAGTGTGACCGATGTTTCCCATTTGCTATGATGATGATCATGGAGCATTTAGAGCAGCAGTCGCATTTCTTCTAGTGCAAACACTTTTCATGTGTTTGTATTTGCACACACATCTGATGTATCATATCTATGACCGAGACAAATGAGGGCTTGGAGGTCAACAATTTTGCCACTTCTGTAACAGATCTGTGGAGAAGCGAGCCTGTTCATTTATGCACATTTTGCATGGTATTTTTGAGTAATACTTGCAACTGTTATGAAAAAATGTTACAGTTCTGAATCTAATCCAGGTGCCGCTCAGAGGTTTGGTGTAGTTATGATGGCACTTGATGGTAAATTTATGCGGGTTGATGTAAACGAAAACATTGAAAACAATGCTGTGTGGACAATGTTATTTTGGAAAACTGAGCAACATACCTGTCTGTGTGCAAATGTCTGTTTGTGACATATAGGTATAAATTAATATTTGTCTACAAGTGAATCCCCAAAACTGCAGCTATTGTGTAGTGCACCATACAGCATCCAGAAGTAGT